TGTAAACTCCTGAATTAATTTGCTTTTTCCTAATTCTCGTAGTCGGCAGGCATAGTCGGCAGCTATTGTTAGCGAGTTCAGGCAGTACGGTATATACGAGGCTTATTACTGTTCCAGAAGCGCTTACTATGTTTATTCTATATCTAGAAGAGGTTTTACGTAATACCCATCGCAATACCTATTGGGTATACCTATTGGGTTTTTTCCGTTAGGTTGTACCTAGCTTATAAGCTAGGTACCTACCTTATTTGCGGGGTTGGGTATTAACGTTGGGTTGTACCTAACCCATACCTAACCCAACCTATAACGAGGCCTATATACGCCTAGAACGTCGCCGGAGCGTTAGTTAGACCGAAAGGTATAACCTTATACTAGAAGTAACTATAGCGCGTACGGAACGTAGTCTTCTAGCGGTCGCTTTCCTTAATCTTAATACGGTAGTAGGCATCGGCTAAGTCTAGGTACGTAAACTATTCGGCTCCTATAAGCCTATCTAGCGTTTCGCCTATAAGGGGTAGGGGGTACCGGTTTTTTACTATAATTTCGTTTAGGCTACGATAGTCTACGTATAGTCGTAGTAAACTATCCTTCTTTAGTACAAATAGTACCGGCGCGCCTGCTTTACTTATACTAGTCTTAATCTAGTCGTATTCTAGTACGTTAGTAATGTATTTGTATAGATGCTTAAGTTTAGCGCCGGACTAGTAGTACAACGGTCGAAACGGTAGAACGGTACCTAGCCGTAGGTCGATCGTATACTCTACGCCGTCTACTAGTTTGCTATACTATTCGTCTATAGGAAACAAGACGTCGTAGTAGTCCCGATATTCTATCGGTAACTCTATAAGCTCTAACCCTATATCTGTCCTACGTACTATTACTACGTATACGTAGGACGAGTTCTTTAGGTCCTTAAAGAAATCCGGTACCTCTCGGACCTTAATGTATAAGTGCTCGCTACCGTAGCGCTATTCGTCGGTAGTACTATCTACTACTACTTGCTAGGTATAGCGCTACGGCCGCCCTAGGATAAGATTAGGTTCCGGCGTATCGTAGGTATAAAACAAGCCGCCTATCGTACGCTCGTTACCTATAGAGTCTACGAGGGTTATACGGATATAGTACGCTCTATAGTAGTAGCCTAACTAGCCTATAAACGAGCTCGCCGGCAGTAGGAGTATATTCCTATAGACCGCGAGGTTATACTTCAGTACGAAGCTACGCGATACTATATTAATATTAGCGGTATCGTCGAGTAGTATAGTAGTAGGGGTACGCCCCTTATACGTCTCGACTTGTCCTTCGAGGATACGAGTATAGTATACCTAGATAGGCAAAGGTATATTGCCGTTAAGATTAGTATCTAGAGATTACGACTCTCCTCTAATACCTTCTCTTTTTTCGACGCTTGCTCTTTAGATATAGTAACTCTACGAACTGTATTCGCCTTATCGTAGCTTATATAGTTAGGGTATATAGAGTTGGTCGCGATATATCCCTTCTTCTTATAGGAGTAATACTCTAGGTTCTTATACCTATATACCGTCGACAGCGTTATAGTCGATAAGGTACGCCCGTCGTATAGGACCCTACTCTTACTACGATCCTATCGATCGTAGTTTCGTAGTACGTCGCTCTCGGTACGCTTGCGTTTGCCCTATACGCTATAGTCGCGCCGATAGGGCTCGTCCTTAGTACGGACTACTAGGGCGTTGTCTACTTATTCTAGGCGCCTTACTAGGTTTACGAGCTCTACTCGCGTATTAGGGATAGTATATCCCTTAACGATGTCCCTACGTAGCGACGGCTTTAACTTTACGAGGAAGTAGCGTATTAGCTACGCTTACGTATAGTTAAACTAGGCTTCTAAATAACTAAGCTACGCTACAAAATAACGGACGCTCTAGTCCGGGCCTTAATATACCCTTTTATACTCGATTATTACGCCGATCTAATAGTTCGACTAATCGCTAACAGTATTATAGAGCTATTCCTTAAATTCCTCCTAAGTATAGTCCTCGGGGATTACGTCGGAATACTCGTCGTACTACGTCTCCTACGCTTCGCCTACAAGCTATATAATACTATATAGGACCTTGTCTTAGTCGGTTCGATATTCTCGGAGGGCGCTAAGGAATACGACCTCGAGGTACCTAATAAAGTTACGATATTCCTTATCGGTGTCTTCTTTAAACGGCTTAGGTTCTCGAATCTTAGGGCCCCTATATAGAGAGTAGGTACGCAACGGGTTCGTAGCCCGCCTGCGTACGTTACGTAGGTCCGTCGACCTAAGGTCTTCCTCGAGTCCGTCGAGAAGATCGGGCTCGGTATCGTCGTCGTCTATAGTAACTATAACGGCTAGAGTTAGTACTCGGCCCTAAATTTGCTCCTATAGACGTTAGTTCTCCCTCTCGAAGGCCTGAACTTCTAACTCTATATAGAGACGCTAATTTGCCTCCTCGAGCTGTATATATCTAGTATACGGGTCGACTACGTAGGCCTCCGGCTAGATAGGAGCCTCCTCGAAAGGAGTCTCCTCTAGGTTCCCGTCTGCCTAGGTATTTATAGGGCCTAATACCGTCTCCTCGGAAGGTTAGGCATCCTCGTCTACTTCGCCGATAACGTAGCCTGCCTACGCTATAGCTACGGCGCGGTCGCGTTACTATCGTAGGGCTATCGGACCTCTATAGATTACTACCCTTTAGAAGGATAGAAGAATTAGAAATATAAGAGTAGGGTATATATAGTAATATATAGAGCGTCCTTCCTACTACGTAGGAAAAGGAATAAACTAATTCTTGTCCTTCGGAAAGGAGAGAGCGGCGTCGTATAATATACCTCTGCGCTAAGTATATATAGGCGCTATACCGCGCGGGCAGTCGCCCGATAGCCGATCGCCCGACGACTCGGATTATACTACTTCTATAGCCCGTCCTACCTTAGGCTAACGTACCTTAGGCTTAAATACCTAACCGCCCTCTAGGGCTATATGCCTCTAGGCCTAGCTATTACAATCTCTTAATTGCCTAGAGACCTTATCTTGTCTTAGTTCTTCGAAAAGTAGGTAGGTATAGTACGTATAATATGCCTTAGGCAAATTTAGCCTCCTAAGTCCTACTATTTAGAATTTTTACTCCCGCTATATATAATTCCCTCTAAAGCCTTTACCTCTTTAAATACCTAGTAGTATAAGTATAAATATAAATAATATAAAGAAGTATAGAAACTATACTATACTATACTATACTATACTATACTATACTATACTATACTATACTATACTATACTATACTATACTACTTACGTTACTAATTAGTAAATGTATTTACTAATTAGTATTACTTTTTACTTTTACTTTTACTTTTACTTACGACCTTCCGTTAGTAATTAGTATTAGTAACGTATTTTACTTATGACCTATATTAGTAAAAGTAAAAGTAAAAGTAATTACTAATTACTTATTTTAGAGTTTGGACATCACTGTTCCTACCGCACCGTGCCACTTCGAGCTCTACCCACCACCTACCTCCTGGCTCACGCGAGCTCGTCACATACGAGGCTTCCATTATCATCTCGTGAGAGGTACAGGTATCGGCCAGTCACCCATCTCATCCCGAGTGCAGGGCAGGACGGGCGGCCTGATCGGGCCATCGTCACAACGCAGTCAGCGTCAGCAGCCATATAGGTAGCGCCATCGTGAGCTGCAGTGCACGGTGGGATGGAGATAGCAGCTGTATTCTATGGCTCAACTCTCACCCGGCCTGCCGAGCTCGCGACACAGATCGACGAGCTCATATTCAACACAAAGAACAGCTGCGGGTACATCTACCTGCTGTGCTGTACAGGGAAGCCTTTTACCGGCACCACCAACCACTATTGCGGTGAAGGAGTTCAGTGTGGTGAGAACATCGCGGCGCAGGCCTCCACTGATATATGCAAGGTACTGCTAGTCGTGGCACCGGTATCACAAACCGCTTTCGACCTTGTCGCACTACGCTCCTGGAAGTCAGATTCGTCTAGATGCGGCTTCCGAAACACCGCATGCTACACGTTGCAAGAACCATCAATTCTTGCTGCTCGAGCGTGGCTCATGGCGAACAGCATTCAACTGACACACGATGGAAGATATCGCTTTGTTCCATCATGGCGCAAGCAGACCTGATGTCGTAGCTTCCGCCAGCGTAAGGTATACTCATCGCTACGCATACCAAGCTTCCACATCGCTGCGGCCAACCACTACCAAGAAACTTTAGGTCGCTGAGCGACAAACTCAAAATCGGCAGCGGCGATATTAACTCCCGACAGCGTGGAATCACGACAAGAGAGTCCAAGCCACAAAAAAAAAGTTGCGACGCAAGCAAGGGATAGCATGAGTTCGGAGCACAACGCTAATATCTAACACGCAGCAAACACAACGTGGTGCCACGCTGACTGTGGACTTGATCTACAGTCAACACAAAATATTAATTCGGCTTGACGCCTTGACCTCTCTCTCGCATGCGCTGGCTGGTGGCAGCAGATCGAGCTTCGACGCAAGGGGATGTCTGGGAAACGCGGCCAAGTCACGAGCAATCAGACCAGTAGAGTGCATCCAGGGCTCATGCAGCGCTCTGATATTGTGTATGTTGAGATACCGCCGTTGAGTGGTTGGTGGCAGAAAGAGTGCAGCGTGACAACGACGATCACAAGGCTTGTTCGGTGGTTAAGCATGTGCAGAGTGCAGAGAGTGGAGATGGACTTACTCATGGGGCCCCAGACTCACCTAGATACCTTACTGTTGCTAATGTACATACCTTAGTGTACATGTAGCTTCGAATGCGGACATGCACGGCACTCATCAGAACGACGCGAGATGGTCGTAGTGGTGTGAAGCAGATGCAGACTTCACACGAAACGGAAGAAGCTCGACGCGGGTGTTGGTGGAAGGGCCTAGGCCGACATGTACGTGTACCTTAACCACATCAAGGAACAAGAACCTCCGACTCAAGATCTGACAAACGCTCAAACTAGGCATCGCAATGTTTCGTCTCACACAAAGCTGCAGTAGCATCGTGGCGAGAGGGGGCATATCTACATGTACCGATACCTTATATTATGATCCCCACTACAGAATTCATTTGTCGCCAGCAGCGACAGCAGCATGACCGGGCTTGATCTTCAGTCTCGACGCCTCCACTGCGACCGCTCTCGGAATGTCCTCCTTCAGGCTGCAACCCTCGGGCTTCCAACCGAACAGCACCTTGGCGCGCTTTGCTCGAGACCTCGAATTGGCGCCCCATAGCAGATTGCCGTACTGCGCCAGTGCTTCTGCCTCGTCTGCTGTGACCGACTTGACCTCACTGCTCTCGATCAACTTCTCCTTCTTCGCCTCATCTGCAATCCACTGCGACACTTCACCCCAGACATGTTCACCATTCTCGCAAAAGTAGTAACCTTCTGGTCCCCATGTCGCTGGCTTCCCGGGCCACTCCTTTGTCGAACCACCCGCTGCTGCTTCCTCCACCAGCTTGAGGAACAACGCTGAGAGATCATGAATGTGTACATCGCACCAATATGTCTTGCCCTCGTTGACCTTGATAGCTTGTCCCTGCTCCAACGAACATCTGATGAGTTCCGGAACCTGCAGCGAGCGCTGATTATCCGGTCCTCGTCCCGGACCATAAATCGTCGGAGGACACACAATCGCCGTCTTGAGACGATCCGCCAGGTCTTTCGCAGCAGCAAGCACAATTTTGTCGACATTGCGGTGCGAAGCCTCATCGGGCAGCGAAGTCACTTCTCCCACATTCTCGAGATCATCGTAGATTTTCTCGCGAAAGTTCTTGCCATAGCCATTCGTTTGGGCCTCGGCCGTATCCTGCCACATGAGAATCCCCGTTCCACTGGTGTGGATCAAGAATCCTGGTTTCGAGGGCTCGTGGCTGGCAAGGCCTTTGATGATGGCTTGGGCGGAAGGTTCGTGGTCGGCATGTGCCCAGTCTGCGAAAGGAAAAAAAATATGGTGAGCAAGAAGTCCATCATCTCTTCAATTGATCCTGTGCCAACAGAAAAAAGGGAGAGGGAGAGAGAGTGTGTGTGGAGGTCACTTACGACAAACAATATCCGCAGCCCGCGACTCTCGCTCGAGAACATCCACACTGTCCAAATCTCCATACACGAGCTTCACGTTCGGGAATTTGGCAGCCACTTTAGCGCCTTTGTCGCTATTTCGCACGAGAGCCGTGATTTCGTACTCGGGGTGAGCTGTCGCGATGGCATACATGGCATCGCCGCCAATGTAGCCTGTTGATCCCGTCATAAAAATCTTCGTCATTTTGATCGACTGGTTGTCTGTTCTCTTCAATTGGTATTAATCGGTACCCACTCAATCAAGAGTAGAGGTCAAAGGTTGAAAAAAAGGTAGGCCAGGTAGTGTGTCTTGTTGTATGTTACTGTTTGTTGTTGTACACTGATGCGTGACACCTCCAATTCATATATCAATGTCTCCCCAGTCTTTATTGAAAAGTGACGTCGATTCCGCGTCCAGAACCACATTTTTTTCTCCGTTCCGCTCCAGTCGCGGCGGGGGACTTTTCTAGAAACCATCATCACGTCAGCTGAATAATGCCTTCTTCTTCTTTTGGTTGGATACATCGAGCTTTGTAAGAGGACAAGAAACACCGAATATCAAGCAGATTAGGTCCAAGGTTCAGCCGAGTCTTGTTTTTGGTCTTTTCGCTGCTTGCTCTTATCATCAATGGAAATGGAATTGAAAAGAACTCATACTGCATTACTGTTGAAGGATCTTTCTGGCTTCGCACTAAGATATAGTCGAAGCAGCGTAGATAGCAGGCTATTCATCCATCATGGCGTGGTTATCGATTCGTCCAAATCCGATAACCAAAAAGCTCAAGGAGGGGAAAGATTGAAAACATGTTTTCGGAATATAACATCACCCGACACTTTTCCTCTTCCCACTATGCTTCTGCCGTACATTCATACCTGTTGCAACCTCCGTTCAATCTGCCATCTAGTAGATGCCTTGGGTCCTGTACTGGAACGTATCGTAGAGTCTGGTGTAGTAGCTCCCAATGCTCTTGTTCACAAGATCCTCCACCCAATCCCGAGCTTCCTCTTTGCTCTTCTCAAGCACGAAACGTGCACGCAATGCACTAACAACATTGACCAAGCCGCCCCCATAACAGGGCATCTTACTTTCACGACCCATGAGCTCGACCAAGGTTATTAATCGTTCCGCTTCTCGGCGCAAGGCTTGAAAAGCATCCTTCATCAGCTCCTTGAAGCGTCCAAAAGGCTCACTCTCGGGCCCACCGAGTAACTCTACGTATTCAAGAGTCAGCTTGAAAGGCGCAGCTTCGAATCCCATGTTCCCAGGAGAATTCGACAGCATGAAGCCAAAGTCTATATGTACAACGTGTCCCTCGGCGTCGATCAGAATATTCCCATTGTGACGGTCCTTGAGCTGGAGGATGTAACTGATGATGCTGTACGCCGCTAGGCTGCGGATGAAGCAGTCGATTGCTTTTACATGTGCCGGCGAGTCTGGACTTCCGAAGGTCTTGGTGTAATGATCTTGCAAGGTGGCAATTCGCTTCCTCGGATTGGTACCGGCTGCTATGCTTGCAATCGTGAGCGAACGCTTGATGGAGTGCAACGATACGGCGTTTGTGATTGTTTCAATGAGGCCTGATGTCTCGCCGATGACCAGGATCCGCATATTTTTCACCCATACGTTGACTTTGTGTTCAGCAAAGATTCTGTCGCAAACGGCGATCAGCTGACAGGCAAATGCTTCTTGCCGCAAGTCTGCACCCGTCTTCACAATTACAGAGACGAGGTCCCAGTGCTTTATCCAGCCATATGGCGATGAGCGGCGTATTCGCTCCTTCTTCTGCTCCCAGGCCTCACCGAACATGGCCGCACTAGGGTCGTCGCGGTCGCCAGTGCGTTGAATACCGCCAGTCATGGCATCGTTCTCCATGCGCGCAGCACCTTTCCCTATGTTTACCAGATCCGGGTCGGAAGGATCGTCCAGTGAAGCTGCGAGATCATCTACGTCCGAGCTGACGGCACCCGTCCTCGCGATGATGGTGTCAAAGTTAGGAGTTTGTTCCTCTGCCAGAAAGCTCTGCTCTTCCAGCGATTGCATACTAGCAATGATCTTAGCGCGTATGGCTGCCACTTCGGCTTTTGGTCGTTTTGCAGCGCTCAACTCAAGCTGTGCAAGCATTTGAGATGCAGTGCGCATGTGGTCGGCCAGAGCAGAAACATCCGCCTGCGTCGCGTTCTGAGGTCGGAATGGGGATGCTCGATCTGAGCTGTTGGGCCGAGCAGTTGCCAAACCTTCTGAAGTACGAGGGGTGGACACACTTGCTAGGGTTGAGATGGTACTTACGCCGCTGGAGAGGCGTGGAGGATCTCTTGCCCCAGGAGGTGCCGTTCTTGAGCGTGGACTGTTCGTACCCGATCTTGGCTTATCATCCAGGTCCTGAAGTAGCGCAGTGCTCGAAAGATCACCACTCATAGGTTCCAGCACACTGTCCACCGTCGCCTCTTCCGGTGGCGATATGATGGCCGCCTGTCGTGCAGCATCTGTTGTGTCGAATAATCTACGCTTCTGCTTGCCCTTTTCTGATAATATCTTGGCGAGAAGATCTTGATTCTGTTGGCTGTCCGGATCAAAGTCAAAGTCCTCTCGGATTACCTCTAAAATCAGCAGATACGGAACTTTCTCAGCGCTGTTCAGACTTGTCGCTTCTGCAGGATTAAGTCGTACGATGCGATGATGCCGACTTCGACTTGCAGAGCCACCCACAAGGGTTGCAGGGCAAAGGAGTGGTATGTCGACTTCTGCTGGGAGATCCTGAGCGATGAGCCCTAGCTCAGCACGCAGCGCACTCAATCGAGCGGGCTTCGGCACGGACACCAAGCGATTCGAGATACCTTCGAGCGCGGTGAGAAGCTGGCTCTCGTTACGAAAGTAGTTCTGCCGTAGCGCTCGGACCCTTTGCCCTCGCGACATTGATGAAGGCGTTACTGGGCGCAAGTTCTGCGAATGTCGTCGAGAGATCTCCCCTAGTCGGCGTGGCACCCCCGGCGAAGCAGGTAGGCTCAAGCCTGCGCTAACCTTTCGCCTCTCCGACCTACGGTCTGGCAGTGAGGAACTGCTAGCAAAGCCTTCCGAACTCATGGCCATCGCGAGGGATTGTCGTGAAGTGTGTCCGGCTGATGACTGCCGCGAGGCACTAGGCCGCGACTCTCGTGGCAGTCCAGGCGTGTTCGGCGTCGAAGCCGACGCTGGGCTGCCATTGATCTTGACGTCCGCGGGTTTTCGTGTCTTCCGCCGCGGCGCCTCTTGGCCGTCTCCAGTGCCTGGCCTTGTCCGCCTGGTGGTACCACCGCCAACTGTTGCACTCCTGCTGAGCGTAGGCGTGGCTGGAGGAATATCAGAAGAACCTTCTTCCATTGGCCGTGGCCTCCTAGCTTGAGCTATGGCAAGTGGACCAACGTGCTGCGGAAGCGCAGGGAGGCCTACGCCAGCCAATACTAAGCCCGACAGAACGGTGACTGGCAGCACATTCTCGTGTATCCTCGCTCTTCGCGTAGGTTCCCCGCCACCGAAGACGATATTCTGGACTCTGTTGTACACTCGGCGACACGTCTGGAAAGCATGAGAGGCGGGTTGGCTAGATAAGTCATGCAGATACGTCTGGAACAGCCAAAAGGTCTCGAGACTATGTCAGCATCAGCGATCCCAGTATTGTGCCATGTGTATATACCTACCAGGAGCGCGCCATTGACAGATTCTTCGCACAGGTCTATGAGGAATTCCTCCAGCGCCATCGACTCATTGTCAATGGAGATGACCAGATGGCACAGCTGCGGAAGGAAGAACTCAATCTCCCCATAGCTGAAGCCTCGTAACTTCGAGCAGAGCACATAGTGAATGCCAACGTGCTCGGCGTAGCGACTGCCCTCCCGTCAGCGCGTGCATCTCCCTCGAGTAGGCGTAAAAGTTTGGCGGCTCACGCAAGGTACGAGACAGTGAGCGAAGGATCGCGGTTGAAGTGCTCGGACTGGATGAACCGCTCAAGGAGGTTCCAACTCATGAAGACTGTCTCATGGACGGACACGTGCAGTATCGAGCCAAGTATCTCTCATCTTCCGATGTCTGTGCTACGGGGAGCCCGAACAGACCGACAGCGGGCGCCGGCGGTGGTGTCTCGAGGGTGCGTGGGTGTGGGAACGGTCGGGGAGGACAGATCGATCGAAGCTGCTTCGAAAAGGGTGTCGCGTTCGCTGGTGGCGGTGGTGTTGTGAAGGTGTATCGACAAGGGCTGATGCAGACGGGAGACTCGGGAGTCGTGGTATACAGGTACCAAGTTACCTATTAATAATCGTGATATGAGCATTGGAGGCCATCCCATGGCATGCTACAACCCCGAGAGAGGGTTGTGCGTGCGCCGTGCGGCACCGGGACCCGCCTGTTACGGAAGCAGCCGTGCCGTCCAGCCGACGTCCCTTCTGCCTTCACGCACTCATACATGTACCTTTGTGATTTTGATATTATCATGAGTATGCAGTCAATTGCGGAATTGCGCATCGCTGTTATCCTGGGTGCGGATCGAAGAGGATGCCGCTGCTACGACTGCAAGCAGGCGATGAGTAAAGTCGTCTTCTTCTGCTTGTCACAACATGGCAGGACAGCGTGGTCGAGGCTTTGTGGTAGCCATATACAGTGATCATGACATGTAGCCATGTCGGTGTAGTTGGCCTTGCCACAATCAAATTCACGCCCATCATGAAAGCTGGTTATGGCGGGATAATAGCTAGCTATCGACTTAAGGTATGCATGCAAAACGCTCAGGTCGTCCGTGGCAGCTCAATGCCTCACTTCTCAGCAGCCCAGTCTTCACTTCGGCAAGTTCCGCTGCACCCAGTGCTTACCCCTACTTATTCACTTCTCTTCCTTCCTAAGAACTTCACGAATCTGCATACTCAACACCTCACAATCAACGTTCGGCATATTTGCTTCATCACTGGACGCCGCGACCTGCTAGGTTTTGAGGCGAAGCGTAGTGGACCAAGTACCAGCCGATCAAGGTTTTGCTGGTGACTGCTCAAGTGTAGAGATCAAGATTCACTCGCGCAAGTGGCATTCTCGACTTACAGGGGCGCCGATCGACTGAAGCAAGATGGCCGACCTCAACCGTCTGACCATCACCACAGTGCATCCGGACGCACGTCCTTCCATGCAAGGTTCTCAAGGACAGAAGCCACGAAAGCAGAAGAAGAAGTCGGAGCGGGAGCAAGCTGAACTGACGCCAGCCAAACGCTTTCAAGCTGCGCAAGATCAAAAGCTTCGGGAGATGCTTCACCGCCAGCAGGCTGGAAAACAAAACCTCCAGCCACGGCAAGCTGGAGAGCAAGCCCCAAACTTGGACGCCGAGATTCCGGAGGCGGTTGGCTCGATAAAAGCTGGGCCATCAAGCTCGGGTGATGCAGCGCTCAACGAGACGGCTCTCAGTAAGTCGTGTCAACTCAGTGCCTGTTCTGAAGGTTCCCGACCAAAGGCTAACACCGACTTAGAGCGCCCGGGCGATTCACTTTCTCTTGAAGGTGCTGTACGTGCAGAGGTAAGCTCTTCCGTCAGGGTGTGAAGTATCCGGCAACGCGTCGCGCTTTTGTGATTGGCGTTGTTGTTGTTGGCCTGCTTTTTCAGGCACCAACACACACAGATACAAGCCCTGCACTCCGCGTCCGCCATCGCCCTCACAACAATCTCTGTTCCGCCGCCGCTCTCTCTCCCCCAAAAAACTGACATCCACAACACACAGGAAAGCGCTGCTTCTGCCCAAAAGATGGTTCGATTGCCAGCAGCACCCCAAGACATCGTGCCCAGCATCGAGGTCGCTGCCTCGGAGGGCCCGAGTCTGATTGACTGCACCAAAGCTCCGCGCGCCTACACTCGCATTCTTGGCCTCAAATTCCCCATCTGGAAACCGAGCGATGGCGACAACGTCGACACTGGCAAGGGCGACATCTACGGCGCGTTAATGCCTCCACTTGAAGAACGCTGGAAGGTGTTCCAGGTAAGCTCAGGCTTCGTCCTTCCTCTGCGCCACCGATACATCTCCGCGTCTCGATATCGCAATTTGCACCCTCATTGCATCTCCATCTGCCACCACGGCGGTGCCATCAATTACTGTGTATACGAAGGAAGCCAGTCACGGGTACTGACAGTCTCCAGAGCGACATCGGACCATATGACTGGAAGATGGGCAACATTCCTCCCAAGTACACTAGACTTGACGACCAAGGCAAGCAGATGATCCACCGACAGATGATTCCTCGTAAAATATGTTGCTGACCTTGGCCATTAGCCGCCGCACTCGTTCTGAAATCCAACATACCAGCTCCTCAGATGGCATTGCTCTGGCCGCACGACTTTACTCCTGGCTACATTCGGCGGGCCCGAGCTCACGTTGGACGTCCTTCTATCGTCAACCCAAAGGCCGAAGGTAGAGCCAAGTACGAATCCGTTATTCCGGGAGGAAAAGCGAAGCACATTCAGCCGTACTTCTTCATCGGTGGTCCCGAATTCGAGCCTATCCACTACCGTCCAATACCAAAGGCGCCAGACCCCAGCGAGGAAGACCTCTCAGAAGTGGCACGCGAGAAGCGCCGCATGGACGCTTATCTCGACTCGATTGAGGAGCCGAACCGTCGCGCTCACGGTCACAACCAGTATACCCCGAAAGATATGATGGTGAAGCACGGCGCGCCGTCAGGAGCGAAGCCCGTCGTCAAGAAACATAACCTTCCGGCCCTCCCAAAGCCAAACCATCACCTCAAGAGCTTTTACAACCCCATTCACACAGAATACCGTCTGGTCGGCGGCATTGCGGAGAGCGCACGCGAGTCCGTCCGCGATGAAAAGAAGAAGAAAATCAAAGAAGCCCTCGCTCAGTCCAGCATCGAAGACTTGCAGGCAGAGCTGACATCTCGCAAGCGCCTTTTAGATTCCGACGGTGAAGACGACAACCACTCTCCGCTCAAGCGCGCCAAGTTGCAACTTCCCGTCCCAGCGCCCCTGGCTAAGCCTGCTGATAAAGAAATCGATCACGTCGTCCGCGAGCACGTCAACATTCCTCGCACCTTGGGAATGCTCAATCGCATTGACTTGGAAAAACGCATTGCGCAGCAAGTCTTGGAGAAGAATCCCAGCAAGCAAGCTCTTGCCGGTGAGCTCGCTCGCGACCAGATCAAGGTCGAGCAAGGCCGCAAGGAGATTGAGCTGCTGCGAAAGCAGTTGAAGGAGGCCGAGGCGGCTGCGGGAGAAGATGAAGATGAGAATGGAATGTTTTAGTTCTTGGAAATGTTGGTACAGGACTACTCATCAGGGGTTGGTCTTTCTTCAGGGAGACTGGCAGCTCGCTTGGAGAAAATGGAGCAGCCACAATGGCTGCTGGGGGGAAGATGGGAATGACTTGTCTTGCTTCAATGTTAGCACAGACCTTGGGCGTTTTGTTTTGTCTTTCAGGGAGACTCCCACTTACTGCGGAAATGGGGCAGTCACAGCTCCATATCATGCGATTAACATAGCCGGCACTTGCGAAAAGTTTACTGATTTCTTTACTCTCTGCACACATTGGCAGGCGTCTGTCTACTCAGGCGCTCGGCGGGGCAAGAACCTGATGAATGACATGCGAGCATAGGTATGAGAAGAACACTCATACCGCGAGCTGATACTGTTTTCTCATTCATTACTTCTTGATCATACATATCCTCCATTCCACCACATCTCATCATCAATCCGCAGTATATCTACTCAACTTCCTGATCTTGGCGCCGTAGATATAATACAGTATCGGCACGGGGAATAATGCCACACACAGGAAGCCCAACAAACTCATGGCCCAGTTCACGCCCAGATTGTGAAACATGGGGGTTGCGAACATGGGGAATCCGGCTCCAATCCAGGAACGGAAGAAGGTGTTTGCTGCAATCGCGGAGTTGGCGTTGATTTTGTACACATCGATGATGTAGTTGAGCCCTTGAAGGAAAATCATCATGACACCGGCACCTGTGGACAAGGGATCGATGTCAGTTTCGTGTGTGTGTGTGAGTGTGTGTGTGTGAGTGAGTGTGAGTGAGTGAGTGAGTGAGTGTGTGTGTGTGAGAGAGAGAGAGAGAGTGCGTGTGTGTGTGTGTGTGAGTGAGTGAGTGTGGGCATGTGTTCGAGGAACTTACCAATCGGGACGGCGGCAATGATTTCTGGCCAAGGGGTGATGTTCTTAGATGAGGTCCATCCAAACCTAAAGAACGGAAACGTTAGGAAAATGTCCTTTGGACACATTTGCGTGACGGTTGACTCACCAGAAGAGTCCAATGGGCAATAATGCTCCGCCCACTATCATCGGGAGAAGGCGTTCCTCAGGCACAATGCCTTTTTCTGCAAAAACACGCTTTGTACGGGTTTTGGTGATGGCTACAATAATGGAGCTCCCGAAAAGCACTCCCACAAGAACTGCAAGGAAAGGCAGCGATCCGACGCCCAGATTGTACCCGCGCTCTTCTTGAAACGAGATAGGGAAGACTTCGAAAAAACCGTAGATGATGCCGTAGATGAGTGACATGTACAGCGTGATCAGTACCAGAATGGGCTCCATAATCAACATCTTGAATGGTTTCAAGAGGTACTTGTCGGCAATTTCTTTGAAGTTGACCTCGTGCTCATCGGCTTCCGCGTGTAGCGCCCAGTTTTTGGTTTGGTGCTTTAGCTTCTTCGCTCTGCGCTGTAGCAGCACCGGCGCCAAGGTCTCTGGGATGACGAAGAAGCCTATGACACCGAATAGAGCAGCCATAATCAAAGTAATCCATGCAGTCCAGCGCCAGCCTAGATGGCTCATGGTAATGAATCCTCCCAAGATAGGGCCCATCACGGGTCCAATGAATGTAGAAGCCGAGAACAAGACCATTGCTACGCCACGATCAATAGGCCCGAAGAAGTCTGCTAGGGCTCCGCCGACGGTAGCTAGAGGAGCGCTGGCAAAAAAGCCCCCGAAGAATCGACATATGAAAATGGTCTGTAGGTTTGTGGCCACTGCAACAGGTATCTGGAATATCGCAAAGCTGTATCACCGTAGTCAGTGCGGTGGTCGGAACGAAAATGGATATAATTGTGACTAACATAAAATAGCCGGCGAAGAGTGGTACTTTCCGTCCGTAAAGCTCGGAGAATGGTCCCCACACAATCGGACCAAAGGCGAAGCCGCTGTGCTTCCAAGTCAGTATGCGCTCAAGAGGATTGCGAAGCAGTGGATACTGACAGCACGAATAACGAGGTACCAAGAGTCATGACTTCACTGCTGACGCCAAACTGCATGGATGTCACCATCGTTGCAGAACTGAAGACACTCGAGGCAAAAGTAACCACGAATGTCATGAGCCCAAACATGACTGCAATTCTCCACTTGCGCGATGGTTTGAAATTCATAGGATTCTCCGGGTCATCGTCGCCGTCCCAAGTCACAAGATTGGGGTCGCGCTGTTCTTCTTCTTGGCCGTCTTTTTCGTGATCGCCTTCGTCGCTTTGCTGTCGCTGGCTGTTGTGCCCCTGGTCAATGGATTGCTTCTCGATGTCAATGTCCGCTGATTGATGCCTCGCAGATGGATTGGGCCGATAGGATGTAGGGGGTGTTTCTAGATCCGATTCCTTCTCCATCTCGCTAGTTAATGAACTGCGGTAGAAGTCTCGGCCATTCAATTCTTTGCGTAGTGTGCCCTCGTCGAATGGGTACCCTCCGTCACCCGCCAGACGCTGTGAATGTGATGGATGTGATGAAGGGGTAGCCGAGGTTGCCCAGGTTGTCCAATTCGCCGAGGGCTGTTGTCCCGCTGTAGATGGTCTGAATGGTTGCGTCAAGGCATTGTCGCTAGCGGTAGAGGCTTCTGTCGAATATTGAGGCGCAGGATTGCGACTCTGGTTGGGGATTGCCATAACGCCAGGCTCAGGTTGCCTATCGCTAAGTTCGGCTGTAGATGGTCTGACCCATTCTACAGTGCCATTCGGAGTGGCAAGGGGGAGTCCACTCTGACTTCGTAGAATGTTTTCACGCGTGGGTTGCCGGTCGTTCATGGCTGATAAAGCAAAGGGACGCGAGGAGTCCAACATGGCAAATACGCTTCCAACAGCACATGCCGAATGTAGCAACCACGACCTACTTATATGACTTCTACTAGACCAAATACTCAGGTACTGATTGTAGACGCGTAGCAGACTGCAGTGAAGTCAGTGACGACATTTTGTCAGCATCGCAAGCACGTTAGCTAGCCGCTCTGAAAAATGCGAGTAGTGCCAATTGGAAGTGCAGCTGAGCAATATGGTTTGGCGCTTGACTAGATATTGATGGCTGATCATATGGTTCGGCACATGGCGCGCGTCTTATGTCCGAATTTTTTTATATTTTCTTATTATGCTGATCTTGTGCTACGGGAGGCGTGCGTGTTGTAGAGGGCTGAACTGGTAATACCTCATTGTCAGTCAGCATGAAGAGATGACTACCCATCATACCTCGCCGCGTGCCGGGACAGCGAGCAGACAGGCAGGCAGGTTAGCGAAGCGCGAGGCAGTATGAGTAAGTGAGCAAAGTGCATAGAAGAGGACATGACGTCGTGGTCGATGGCGATGGCGCGCGGCCAGTAGGAGGTACATGTATATGTAGGTGGTGGTAGGAGGTACATCGATACCTGTAGGAGAGGGTAGATGGTACTAGTCAAGATGTGATGGTCAATGTCAAAGAAGGCGATTAAGTTCAGCCTCAAAGCAGAATGGCATTTCGACAGAGAACTGCCAAGACTGCAGGGATCAGGCGATCTGTAGTCTGTATACCTATCCATTAGGTCAGCATTACCTTACCTTACCAGGCTTACCTAATGTACCTATATGTACCTTACCTAGGTAGGTAGGTAGGAGGTACCTACATACACATATGTACCTCACAGCTACATACCAGGTACCTTACCTCCTAGCTTCCCTTCCCCATAAGCATCTTCTCTCTACACCACCATCACATACTAGGCACTGCATCCATACAGGCCCGGTACCCATCAAATCCACATGTCCTAATGGGCACACCATCACTCGACAAGGTGCCGCACCTGCACAAGCTGCCCCGCCAAGATGCGCGCTTCCACCAAGAGACGGTGGCCGACCTGCTCAGACGCCGCGACACCAAATTCCCTGGCGCGCAACCCGTGTCATTTGCGCGCCGACATCTGAAAGAGCTAGAGCGTGCAGACTACTTCCTGGCCGAGAAGACCGACGGTATCCGCCTGCTGCTGTTCCTGACGCAGACGCAGGACGCCATGGGCCACTGGGTCGAGACGCAGTTTCTCATCGACCGCAGGAATGACTACTATCACATCGAGCAGGGCTACTTGCACCTGCCATGCCCCACGCCTGATGGCCGTCCGGGCCCCGATGGCCGCCCCTACGACATCAAGAGCTTCCACCACAACACTCTCCTCGACGGCGAGCTCGTGCTGCAGCGCTTCCCCAATCGCCCGCCGCAGCTGACCTACATCATCTTCGACATCCTGGTCTTGCGCGGGCAGAACATCGCCGAGCGCGAGTATGGCTATCGCATCGACAAAATCCTCCGAGGCGTCATTGGGCCCTACAAGCAGTTTGCAAAGGACTTCCCCGAGGACAACAGCGCCCAGCCGTTTCAGATCGAGGCGAAGAAGCCTAGTACCTCCTACGCTGCGCCTGAAATGTTCAAGAACGTACTGCCAAACCTGCCGCATGGCAACGACGGCTTGATCTTCACTTGCAAGGATACTCCGTATGTTAGTGGCACCGATCAACATATTCTCAAGTGGAAGCCGCCGCACGAGAACACCATCGACTTCAAACTGCAGATTGGCGCTTTCCCGGAATTGGAAGACGAAGATGGAAAGTACGAGGACTTTGACCAGAAGCCCGAGATCGAGCTTCTCGTTTTCCACGGCAACAACAACGACTACCGTTATTTCGCCCACCTGCACCTCACCGACCGGGAATGGGACGCCATGAAAGCCCTGCCCGAACCCTTCGATCACAAAATCATCGAGTGCTGGCGCGAGAAAGAGACGGGCAATTGGCGACCAAAAATGGACGAAGACGGTACACCACGTTTCAGAGACGACAAAGAGCATGCCAATCACATCTCTGTGGTGGATAGTGTGCTTCAGAGCATTGAAGATGCAGTCACCGAGGAGGACTTGATCGCTGCATTCAATCCCATCAGGACCGCCTGGAAGGAGAGGGAGTCGAGGGCGAAAGAGGCGGAGCTCAAGATGCGACAAGCCCAACACCAACAGCATCAGCAGCAGGCACAGAGGCAGCCCCGAGACTCTGGTCTGGCCAAGAGTTCTCAGCCACTAGATACTAGCAAGAGGACATCTAGCCCGCCTGACGACGGTCCCGGGTACGTCTGATATGCATCGGCGAACATTGTACACAAGGCCGTGGGCGAAGCCTTTAGCCGAGCACCCATTGAAGACAAGACGGTGGTGTTCGAAGTGCATCTATTGCTACACATGGCCACTTTTGCGAGGGTCGCGCTCGGATAAATGGAGGAGGCGTTGGATTACAATCATTTCCATGAAAATGGCAGCATAGGACAAGGGGGCGTCATTGGTTATATATGCGTATGATACCCCTTGGGAATTTGGGAATTTGGACATAGCAGACATTCAGTACAACGCATGCGCTGCGAATATGATGCATTAATAAACAACTTGCTCGAACCAGATTGCAGCGTGCGAGGAGTGACAGTCCGACATTCATGTGAACTACTAATTCAGTATGTACTAGGCAGTGAGAGTAAGCCGGCGAGCAGCCAAGATACCAAGCCAGCTCTGAGACAGACGTGAGGCGCGCCAAGCTGGTTACGATGTTGTACCTCCTACTACCTGCCCTGTTTTCTGCACTCACCTCTCCAACACATTGACAATCAGCCCAAGTGGCACCTCACATTCAACCCAATGTCTCCAAGCAACGACAACAGCCGACATGGCCACCACACCAATGGCGAATCGTCGCCGTTGTTACCATCGACGCAGCGGAACGCACCCCATACCTTCGCGGATGGCATCGGTGGGTGAAAGGTGCAAGGCATGGGAAGTCGGGAACAGCATACTGATGACCACCTCACTTCTACAGCTCACGAAGGCGAAAGTGGACGTCACGGTTTCCATCCACAGCAGTTTGTGTCGATTGTCGCTCGCTCCTCCAGTCGTGTCTCGTCAGCCGTTAATCTGCTCTGGCCGTTTGTCGTGGTAGCCATAGTCCTCAACTTCGCCACAGATGCACATTTATGGATCTTTGCTACTTCCTACCTGGCTATGATACCTGCTGCCAACCTGTTGGGCTTTGCTGGCCAAGAGTTTGCACGCAAAATGCCCAAAGTGGCCGGAATCCTGATTGAAACCACATTCGGATCAGTCGTGGAAATCGTCCTCTTCGTCGTGTTGATCATCAAGCACGAACCGGAAGGAGGAGAAGGCGAGGGCAACGGCGACGAAGGGAACCTCATACCGATCATTCAAGCTGCGATTCTGGGCTCGATCCTCACAAACTTACTGCTATGCTTGGGGTTGTGCTTCGTTGCCGCTGGCGTTCGCAAACATACCCAGAACCAGAAGTTCCACGCTGTGGTATCCGAAGTTGGCAGTGGCCTACTCCTTGTTGCTGCCTTCGGACTGCTGATACCATCTGCCTTCTACTCTGCTCTCAAGACAGAGACTGTATCGGCACTTCATGAGCACTTCACCAAGGATCGGCTCGACAATGATATTGTGCGAATCAGTCAAGCCACTTCCGTAATACTGATTATCGCATATGGGCTTTACCTGCTATATAGCTGCACATCTGCGCATTCCCTCTTCGACGAGGTCATCGAACAGGATGAGCATCAAGATGCTGACCATCACGAGGCAAGTGCAGGCCCATCACTTATATACTACTCCGGGTTTTCGTCTAACAACTCGCAGGACATGTTGAAGCCAAAGTTGACGATGACGGAAGCACTGGTCGCTATCGCTGTCGCAATAGTCTTCGTCGTCCTACTCCTCATCATTCTCGTTGGGCAAATCGAACCTGTCGTGGAGGCTGGCGTGCCTGATCAATTCCTTGGCCTCATCTTGCTTCCTCTTGTCGAAAAGGCAGCTGAGCACCTTACATCGATCGACGAAGCATGGGATGGTGTCATCAACGTGGCTCTATACCATTGCATTGGCCCGTCCATACAGACTGCACTCTTTAATGCACCTCTAGTCGTTCTGGTGGGCTGGGCACTCGGCAAGCCAATGGATCTCAACTTCGAGATCTTCATGATCGCTCTGCTTGTTCTCTCCATTCTGGTCGTGGGAAACTTCTTGCGTGATCAAGAAAGCAATTGGCTCGAAGGTAGCTTGCTAGTGGTGAGTTTTGGCACATTGACGACTGAGCGCTAGCACGCCTGCTAATATCTGTAGGTCGTCTATGTGATCATCGCGATCGCGAGCTTCTATTATCCCAACCCGGACGTGGCGACCTCGAATGGACTGCAAGGCGTGGCTCGTCAGAACATCACAATTCCTCTAGATCTTTACAAGCAGTTGCTGGCCTTGCCAGTGGGACACGAGGAATTGTGAGAAGACTCGCAGGATGTCGCACGCACAAGTATTCAGAGCATCAAATCTGTAGGACTATCATCGTGTTACTGTCCGCCAGCTTATTCCCATCACCTGTTCTTATCACAACGTTATGCTGGGCACCAAGAAGGAGCATGGAGGTGATGCAGCCCGGTACTTCGCTATTACACCGAAGAACCCAAATCAGATTCCCCGGGTCAACGCTAACTCAAAGTCGCAGAATGTAAGCTGCTGTAAGCTGCCTTGAGACTGGGGGCTTTATACGAAGCGATAGGTACGCTTTTGAATGGGGAACAGCGCGCCAAGCAGGGTGAGAATGGTAGTGATTTTCGAGTCCTACTTCTACCCGATCAACCTACCTCCTACATCTACTTCAGGACCATTTCCTGATATTTTCATCAACATCTTGCCTTCTCCATCCGCATGGCTACGTGCGATACGGCACTGGAGGTGTCTCACTGGCCATGCTACATTGCCACAAAAGCCTTCTCTCTGGCCGATTCGAGAGCTGTCCGGTAATGCTGTGCAGTACGCCTCTGTTATGGAATATCACCAGGTCACCTTTGCGCCATCGATGAGCATAGATGTGCTCTGGCTTGTAGATCTTGCTCTGCAGCCCGTGACAGATCCGTCGAACCTCTGCGAGATCATCGACCACGGTAGTCTCGCCATTCGCTGGATTTTTGGTACGAAGAGACAGGACATTGCAACCAAGAATCTGCAGGTGTGGCTCTTGTGTCTCTCTATTTGTCCATACCATCTGGAGAGGAATGTCAGCACAGCAGCATCGAACAAGTAGTAGTAGTAGTACTACTACATACCGGAAATGCATGGACTTTGTCCCATTCGAAAGGCGTCATCTCGGTCATTGGCATCTCTTGCCCGACTCCTGCAATGCCGAACCCGTCGTTAGTCGCTTTGCAGTTCCTGATGAACTCGTACGCGCGAGGTGCGTATTGCACGGTCGTGTTCATGGCAAAGTCTTGCTCTTCAGCTGTGAGCAACTTGAAACCTTTCGCACCAGAGTAGACTGCCTCAAGTCAGCGTGCCATCTCATCCTATTCGGGCAAAACATCAGCTCACAAGCGGTTGCTCCAGCAGCAATATCCATTTCGCTGCCATCCGGGAATCGGATCTTTTGGTCTGGAAGATCTGGTGCCTCAATTGAGTGCAGGCTTGTCACGAAGCCAGGCAGATTTTCGTACAGAGGCGCATCCATATGCCAGCGGTACGGCCTCGTGTAGCCTTGTGCGATCTCCTCTGCTGTCAGCGGGTTCTGGTGGAACGAGACATGATCCTAATGCTGACCATTAGTTGACTTCAGAGTCTGCGTTGCAGGCTCCATACCACATGCTTCAGCTCCAGGTCCGAGATGCCTTCGTGGCCATTCGTGTTTCCACTTCCAATCACAGTCACCTGGGGAGCACGAGGGATTCGCGATCCATTGTTCTGCGACAGAATGTTCTTCTTGTCGGTGACTTGAGTCTTGCCACCGCTGTGTATATCTCTCACTGTCGAGTCGAAGATCTTGGCCAGCTGTGGTAGAAGTGTAGGATTTAAGCCGAGTTGGTCGCGAATCACCAGGATTTGATGGGTGAATAGACCAGTTCTAAGAGTCTCTCGATCTTCATCAGTAAGTGCCGAGAGATCCAACAACGGCATTGACGATGGCAGCAGAACCTCGGCACCCAGCTCGGTATCCTTGCGAAGCTCGTGTGCGAGCGGCACGACTTCTAGCCTTTCAATCTTGTGAGGCATTTTTGTTCTTGATCGGTGTGTTCTAATAATGGTTTACGAAGAACACTGAAAAAAGTTGGTGTCGGTTCTGGAGATTCTTTTCTGATCGGCCTCTCCTATCCAGCATGAGAGCATGCCGACGGGCAGCTCTATCTCAATGCGCGGCATGCGCCTGACAAGGTACATATCGCTGGTTGGCCTATCGCACGCGTTGGATTTCCCCAGGATACAGCCCTACATCGTAACAATCCATACCATACTTCGTTCCATGATCTGGAACCTCGACCCAACACACTGAGTCGCGCCACCTCCTTCATCGTATTGCTCTGGCGCCATGAATCAGACCGCAGATCCGGAATTGGTGAAGCACGCAGTCGTCAATGTCGATACTCAATGCGTCGGGCCAAGTCTTGGCGAAAGCAGAAGCACACACTCCTGGTCCACTCTGCTTCAACGTCTACGGTATAGCTGTCAGCTCGAGACGGAAATTGATAAGGATGGCTTCAGGAAATGGAGCAACGCAGGTGAGTGATTCGACTTCCTAGTGGCTTGTTATTGTTGGCTGACTGTGAAGACCTTGATCCAATCACCTCGTCTGGACAAACCTGGACCAGTATCAACTGTGAGTATCCCCTCCGTGAATTGAACTGCGCACTCAATCCTGATGACCCATCACAGTTGTGACATACTGGCTCTGCGACGCCATCGGTCCAGGCAACCTCCGACTGGGCTCTTCGATCGTCACTCTCGGACTGTCATGGCAGACTGCTGTGGGAATCATCGCCCTCGGACACTTCCTCATTTCACTCGTCATTACCGCCAACGGAATCATCGGTGCCCGGCTTCACATTCCGTATACGATCCAAAGCAGAGCGTCATTCGGGTTTTACTGTTCTTTTCTTGTGGTCATCATACGAATGATAGTCGGCTTGTTCTGGTACGGCATCAATACGTATAATGGCGCTCTGTGCATCAAAGCCGTCATTCTGGCAATCTGGCCATCATTTGCGGATGTTCCCAATCGACTTCCCAGATCAGCCAACATTACGACTCAGGTCATGACAGGTATGTCCCATCCTCCCTGAGAAGCACGCAGGAGCTCGAGCAGACCAGTGACCAAATGTGTATAGCCTACATCATCTACTTCTTATGCGTCCTGCCCTTTCACTACATTCATCCACGCAAGCTCACGTGGTTCTTCCACGCCAAGGCAATTCTATGTCTGCCAGCAATTTTCGGCATGCTCGGTTGGGCGTGTCAGGCAACCGGAGGGGGACTGCACACTTCTCTGCTCCAGCGAGGCACTACCATCTCCAACTCCAAGTATGGATGGGCATTCATGAGCGCACTGAACGTAAGTCATCACGTTCCTCCTCCTCCTCCTCCTCGACAGCATCCCAGCTGACGTTCCTATTCCAGTCGATGCTTGGCAACTACGGTATGTACTCACCTCCAGACCATCCCGCTGCCAATTCCCCTTTTCTTTTTTCCTTTTCGGGCTGAGAGAAGAATACAGGCACAATGGCAGTCAACATCAACGACTTTGCACGCTACTCCCGCAAAACCCGATCCGTCTACATCCAAATCCTCATCATCCCATTATCATTTGCCCTCATGTCCTTTATGGGCATCATCATCGCCGGTGCCGCCACCGATCTCTACGGAGAAGAAATCTGGGATCCATTGACTGTCCTCTCGCACTGGACCGGAAGCGGCAGAGCGCGTGCCGGTGCAGCATTCTGTGGACTGGCATTGGCGCTGGCTCAGCTGGGGACGAATTTGAGCGCGAATTGTATTTCGGCTGCAAATGATTTGAATGCTATGTTTCCCAAGGTGAGAAGAAGCTTTTGGTTGAGAAGAGATATGGAATTTGTTGGGCTGACTTTTTTTCTTTCTTTTTTTTCTAGTATGTGAATTTACGACGTGGAAGCTATATTGTCGCTTTTGTGGGAGCGTGGGTTCTCACTCCTTGGAATATCCTCGCGTCTGCATCTGCGCTTCTAAATTTTATGGACGGATATACGATCTGGGTAAGTCCAAAGAAAAAAAAAGAAAGAAAGCGAGGAATGAATGATAGAGCTAGAAAAAGAAGCTGACCTCTTGAATCATCCAGCTGGCACCAATCACTGGTATCCTTTTATCAGATTACTACCTCGTCCACCACCAAAAATACCAAGTTCTCGAACTCTACGACCCTCAAGGTCGCTATCGCTACAACCGCTTCGGAACAAATTGGAGAGCAATGGTAGCTTTTGTCGCAAGTTGGGTTCCTCTCACGCCCGGTTTTGCACACGCGGTAAGTACATCAAAATCAAACCACACTCACTCGCCTCTTCTTCTTTGACTTTTTGTCTTGACGATGAATCATGATGGTTTACTGATGAGAAAAATCAAATAGGTCACATCAACGAATTCCATCGCAATGGGTGCTTTGCATTTGTATTATCTTAGTTATCTTTTTGGAATTTGTACGAGTGCGGTGATTTATACGGGTTTGAATTGGGCGTTTCCGCATGTCGGGAGTGTTGTGAGTGAAGGATGGACGGTTTGATGTATATATGTAGGTAGGTGGATGAGGTAGTAAGTACATGTATATAGGAAGTTATAGTCATGATGATGATGATGTTGATGATGATGATGATCATAATCATTATTAAATATATGTTTTTCTTTTCTTCTCTTCTCAGTCGTACCGTACCGTACCGTACGGTAGGTAGGTATAGTTCGGTAACGGTATAGTAAATGCAATGGTACCTCCTTACCTAGTAGGTTAGGGGTACATACATATAGTATGTCAGACAAGACAAGACTAACAAAGGGGAAGGGAAAGGAGGAGAAGAAGGAGGAGAAGAAGGAGAAGGAGAAGAACAAGTGCTCTACTCCCCCGTTCTCGAATCGAGGGCATACATCTTAGGGCAGAAACAGGAGAAGGAGAACAAGTGCCCCCCTCCCCCCTTCTCGAATCGAGGAAATACAGAATATACGAATACCGAGCCTCGTAGGGCAGAAACAGGAGAAGAAGAAGCCTCCCCTCCCCCCTTCTATATATACGAATACCGAGCCTCGTAGGGCAGGCTAGGTATATGAGGTATTTCTCTTTCCGTTAACATAGGTACGTTTGATCAGGTAGGGCTAGCTAGCTTCTTTACTGATTATTTGCTACAACACTAGCTCGTAGTTGTTGTTGTATTACTTGTATTGTATTAGCTTGTATTGGCCCTGTTGGGTAAGATCGTATTATGTTGTTTCAAGATGTTCTGTCCAAGTATAGATATACTAGCTACGTGCTAGGGAGGTAGGGAGGTAGGTACCGAGGTAGGTTGGATAGGTATAGTTAGGAGAAGAGAGGGAGAGAGAGAGAGATAAAGAGAGATACCGAGGTAGGTAGGTGTAGTTGCGACATCAATATCTACCTAGTCGGGTACATGTACCTACATATGTTGGAAACCTATCAATAGTATCGCGAGAGACTTTAACTGTAGGTACTACCTAGCCTAGGTAGGTAGTTAGTCTACTTTCATCCGGTTTCCCCCTTCCCCTTCCTTCTTGCGACATATCTCTATACGATTCCAACAGATCGCGTATTACGGTATCTGCTCGCTCGAGGAGAAAGTTCTCTGGGTATTACCTTACCTGACCTTTACCTTACTAGTATATACGGTACGATACGACCGCGGCAGATGTTGGGCTTCCGCTTCTCCCCCCCCCTTCCTCCCCCTCCAGCGGCTTCCCCTTTGACTTACTTGTTTTGTTCTCTGGATACGTATATGTCTGGAATAGGTATATGTATGTACGCGAAAGTGGTAGTAGTACTGTACTGCTTGTAGATGCCGAGGTACTTTGTTGTTAAAGATGTGATTTGGGATGTTGCTACTACTGTTATTATGATTATGATTACGGTACGGATATCCTATTCTTCTTTCTTACTTTCGACGAGCATTCTACCCAGGTACACATACTTTTCGTAGGGGGGATGAACTTGACTTCTCTCTCTCTCTCTCTCTTTCTGCTACTGTTGGTTTTCACGTCCCATCCTTGGCAAAATCCTAGTAGTGATGCCCTTTTAGCACCTAGTTTGTATGTAGAGCGGGAGACTAGGTAAGGTAGAAGGGTGGTAGCGACCCGAGTCTAGCGAGGTCAGGTCCCTGAGAGACGGACGGGATAGTGGAGGGGTTTGTGAACTTCGGCTATACTGTACTGTAGGCGGTAGGTGGTGGCATCGTACTTCCTAACGTTAGTTCGAACGTTCTCGGTCGGCTGGAGAAGGAAGCGTAAGGTACCTTACATACAACATCCTCAGGTACCTTACTGACTCTATATACCTCATGCTTTCTCTCGAAATACGAAAATGTTCAAGGTACATGTAGGAGGAGGAGGCCGGCCGGTTATCGATATCCATCATTCTTGCGAGGAGTCCGAGGACTTCTCCGGCGAAAGGCGTTTGTTGACGAGGCAGCTTCTCCGGCACGAACACGCGGCTGTTCTCTCATCCCCCATGAGCTTTCCAAATACCCGCGATAAGGAGCGTATACCGTGTGCATGCTGCTACGCTCATGGTGAGAGCGGGTGGGAATCATAGTGGGAGAGGATGGATGAATGGATGGATGTACTACTGCAGTGTTGAAGACCCCATCCTCATGCGCGTGCAGCTGCTTCTGGTTGACGCAATGCAGATCAATGGGGAAGAGTGCAGTATCACAGTAGTACAGCCTCTAGGAGGTACAGGTCAAGAGGTTTTGCGGTGTCCGAAGATGCGATGACGCTCACCTGTGACCTGGTGCATTGGTGCAATTATTCCGAGAAGGTTGGCAGGGGATGGGATTGTAGTGTACCTGTTGGATCTCTCCTGAGTCTCCTCCCTCTCCCAGTCTCACTCGAGAGTCGAGACCCACCCACTCCCGTCGTTAAGGAGATGTGATCTGAGATGCCGTCGGCGATATAGTACATCTGATCTCTACACGTGACATCCTCACTCTCCCCCGAGACGACATGGCACAGACTGCCACAAAGAGAGAGAGAGAGATCGACCTCGGCCGTGTTGATTGCTGCAGCTGTCAGGGGCGTTCAACAGTACCAGTGTACCACCCACGCGGCTCGCACGACGGAAAAGAGTTTGAATTCTCGTTCATAGCATTACTGTATAGCCTATAGGTATCGCGATTCGCCGCTGCCTCTACTCGTTCCAGTAGAGCGGAGCCCATTATATTAACCAGCTAGCGTCGTGACACTCACTACTATAGCGAGTAGATGCATTTCCTGATTTTCCCCAAACAGGAAAACATGTTTTGCCCTTTTATCCAGGTTCACTTTCGCAGTCACCGCCACCGGACCACGGGGAGCAGAAGCAAAGCCAGTGCCACGGGAAGAGGGCGATCAGACACGGCGGCAGCGCAAAGGCCGGGTTCCCGTCCCCCGTACAGGGCTCTAAGAGGGGAGTTAGTTTACTCTTTACACGGCGATGTGCTTCATGGATTCCTCACATTGTCACATGCTTAGCGAACATTCTTGTTCCGGTCCGCAAGTCGTTGTTTCTAATAAGAACCGGTATGGGATTCCTAGGTGCAACGGAAGATCCCGCCGAGATTGGGCTTCGACGACACTAATGTCCGTAATCTCTCGCTTCTCTCGCTCTCTCTAGTCTCTCTCTCTCTGTCTGTGACTCTGTTTCTGTAGTAGTACTGTACAGTAGTAGTGCCGTTGCCACCAACCACATCCTCACCCCCCGATCCGGAAATGGGGCTGTTATACTATACATGAGACGTAGGAGGTACGACAGAGGCCAACCAGGCCCGCGGGAGAGGTGCCGTCCGAATGCGATCAGCTGCCTAGTGCAGTGCAACGGCAACAGAGAACCTGAGCCATGGCGGTGGAATTGAAGGTACCATTGTCGGGCATCATCATCTTCAGCAGCAGCAGTATATCGACGACCATCGACCATCGACCATCGACCATCGATTATCGATTATCGATTATCGTCCATCGACTATCGACTTAGCTATCGCGACATCCACCGGCGCGGCGTGGACGGCGGGGTGGACGGGTCATGGATGGTTCATGGATATGTACCTAGGAAGGGAATGCGTGAAATTACACTGTTTCTCGCCTCTTCGCATTACAAGCCTTATCACAAGCAACCTGTCATCCCATGGCTTCCATCGCTCCCGCGCACGCGACGATGACTGAGCTGCTGTTGCTGTTGCTGTTGTTGTTGATTTTGTTGTTATTGTCGTTGTTATTGTCGTTGTTTGATGATGATGATGATGTTGTTGTCGCTGTTGTCATGGCTGTGCGCTATGCCATACAGGTATTCCTCGCTCGGGCGATTGTTGGAGCTCAATCTCCGGGCTCCGCAGGGAATGTATGGCCCACACCGGCACGCCTAAGAGGTAGGTAGGGTAGAGCCACACTCACAGGCGAGGTCTCTGCTCGTGCCCGGTGATGGGTGATACCTTACCGTGATACCGTGATGGGTGATGGGTGATGCCGTGATGGGTCCAGGTGGGCTTGCCGTGAGTTTCGGACGTTTAGTGACCAGTGCACTGAGTGCAGCCCCCGTTCCCCCTGCCCTTGCCCTTCCTGCCGACGGCGCCAGGTTGAAGCCTGTCGAATGCCATGGAATGCTGAGTCTGCTGAGTCTGCTCCAGCTGAAGCTCGCTCTCTTACCGCGTGGCAGCCACCAATGTGGTAATGCCCACCATCTCTGCCTCTCCGTCTCTCCACCATGGACGGCAATTGGATGCACACACTCGCTCGTCCATTTGCCTCGCCGTCTCTGCGCCTCCAATCCGTCGCCTTCATTGACAGCCGGATGGAGCAAGCGCATCCTCGCTGCCTGTCCCAACTCGGGACCGGGGTGGTTGTGCTGTCTGATTGAGAGAGACGACCGCCTACTGCGACCTAATTTAGACCCATGAAACTTCACGAACCACTTCTAGAACGACAGGGACCAGACCCGCTGGCTCGCGGCTCTTTATTATGTATTCAGACCAACAGCTCGCTTCGCGAGCGCAACACTCAGACCACCTCACTCTAACAGCGCCACTTAAGTTTGTGCAGAAGACTTGTGCACCGCCCGAACTAGGAGAAGAACAGGAGGAAGAGGAAGACGAAGACGAAGAAGAAGAAGCAAGAGAAGAAGTAGTAGAAGAAGAAAAGGGACAAGACGACCGTGTAGAACTCTATTGCTGCTGGCCTGATCAGCAGGTCCCCACTCGGCCTCCGACTCGACAGTAGTCCGCAGACTCCACACGCGAATCAACGCCGGCCTGTACAACGTCAGCGTCCCAGAACTCGGTACGATACCACCACCACCACCAATATCAGCGTTGTAGGAGATATGTGGTCTTGCGATGCGCACTCATACCTAAATCATGCATATTCTCCAGCTTACTCATAGTCGACTGACTGACCACGTGGTTTCAGCATCTCCACGGAGTGCCATCGATCCGGTGCTGCACAATTGCCGGCAATCGAGAAGAGACAAACATTCTGCTATTCTGTCGAATCGTGCCTTTGACAACAAAAACAACAACAACAACTTCAACGGCAGACCCACCACCACCACCATCATCCAATCTCCTCCACCTCCAGCGAACGAGCGCTCGTCGTCTGGAGGAAGCACCTTCTGGAGCCTGCCCGCCCACCTGGAGGCCTACCAGCAGCGCAACGATATGTTCAACGCCAAAACCGGAAATCGACGTGAACGTACGTTTGTGGGCAGCATATGTGCCGCTTGCGATGAGCCTCTAGAGCACATTCTGCGCGGCGAGCGTATCCTTCAGCTGGCATGTGGCCATGTGTCACACGAGGCCTGCTTCTATGGCTACATCAGGGAGTTTGAGCTCGACACGTGCCCTTCGTGTGACAAGCCACTGGGCTTTGACACGCGCAAAGCGAGCGAAGTTGACTTTGATAACCTCAACCAGCTTTTACGCTCCGCACAGAAGCATGAATGGCGGGATGATGATGATGACGACGACGACGACGACGACGACGACGACGATGATCCTCACCACCACCACCAAGCCGGAATGCCTGAGTTGTGGGATGACAATGCAAGCCGATCATGTAGTCAACGGTCCTCCCAATTGAAAACATCGTTGAAGCCTTCACGAGATCGTCTTCTACCTGATCGAGATGAGTCCGTCGACCGTCGGAGCGAACGACATCACGCCTTTCATGAATCACATACCAGGAAAAGCAGTAGAGATACAGGTGTCATATCGAACAATGGCTCTTCCAACAGCCATCAGCAACATGACAGTAGGCCTCACGACTACGACGCGGCATCTATGGTAGCATCTGTGACTAACCCACACCTGCAAGACACGACCATGATCCCGGCACCGCTCGTCACTGTCCGAAGCGAGTTTCCGACTCTCACCAAGTCACGACATCAGCAAAGCTTGACCTGTCTGGTCACGGTGGAGGTAGTGGGGAGGAAGTGGCAAGCGAGCTCGATTGCAGATTCTCCCCGTCCACCTCCCCCGTCATCATTAGCCGAAGAGAGACTCGAATCATCACCGCCCCGGTTACGGCCCGTTTCACAGCGGAGTAGGCCGGTCGACAGCGTACACGAGGACACCTCCCTCCAGCGGATCCGAGACGATTTGGTGCGACGGGTGGACAATTGGCACGGGCTGGAATATGATCGTTTTGGCGAGCTTCTGCTTCACGGAGTGATGAGCGTGGGTAAAGACCGACAGGCTTGGCAGGAGCTGGAGTGCTATCTGTTCAGCGAGATGTTGGTCTGTGTGAAGAGGAAGAAGAAGACCAGCAGTATGCAGACGTGGGACAGCTCCGAAGCACCATCCAGCGCGTTATCGCGCTGCACCCTCAAAGGCTCCATCCTGATCAAGAAACATCTGAGTCATATGGAGACCTTCCGGGAAGGCCATGTCCTCACCCTGCACCTGACGGTGCCTGAGCTTCCTGCATTCCACATGCAATGTTGCAACTCCGAACAGCTCGACCTCTGGCAGAGGACCATTGTGAACCTCTCCTCACCCCCCGAATCGAAGCTGCCGGCGTATGGTGAGTTCGACCACCGGAACTCGTCCGAAGAAGACGACACCCATTCCAAACGCACGAAGAGGCTGTCATCGATACCATCATCGTATGGCAAACAATCCCATGAGACTGCCCCGACGGAGTATACGAATTCCCGTTGTGGTGCACCAGATTGGAGTAGGTGCTCGCCGTCGCTGCATGTGCCCGTGGACTTGGTGGTGGTGGTGCCGGTGACTCCTTCCATGCAAGGGTTGAAAATCAATGTGTTGCGCGATGCGTTGCGTTTCATGGTCTCCAACCTCGGCCCTCGCGACCGCATGGGCTTGGTCACCTTTGGCTTGGGCAGTGGTCCGGCTGCTTTAGTGGGCATGACCACGAAAGGCTGGTCGGGTTGGCCTACCGCCATTAATTCCATTCGCCCTGTCGGCGTGAAAAACTTCCGAGCGGACGTGGTGGATGGTGCCAATGTTGCCATTGACTTGTTGATGCAGCGAAGAGCGCAGAGTCAGCTGTCCCATGTAATGCTCATCAGCGATTCCTCAACTTCCGATCCTGACAGCGTCGACTTTGTGGTCTCTCGCGCCGAGGCTGCGAAGATTTCCATTCATTCTTTTGGCCTAGGTTTGACGCATAAGCCGGATACTATGGTCGCCATGTCCACCAAGACCAAGGCGAGCTACACGTATGTGAAGGACTGGCTCATGCTTCGCGAGGCCTTGGCCGGATGTTTGGGCTCTCTGCAGAGCATATCACATCAGAGCGTCAAGGTCAAACTCCGGATACCGGAAGGCTCGCCCGCCAAATTCATCAAGTTGAGCGGCGCGCTTCATGCCACGAAGCGCTCGACGGGCCGCGAAGCGGAAGCATCACTCGGCGATTTGCGCTTCGGCGATAAGCGCGACATTTTGGTGCAGCTGGCGATCCAGCCAGACGTCTCGTCACCGGACTCGATTCCTTCGGATCCATGGGAGAACATGATCTCTGGCCTGGAGGCTCTGGGACCCATCGAACCGGAAGCAGTGTCGCGCGCAGTGTCGCTCGAAGAATTGCCGCTCATACAGGCCGATTTGACCTGGCGCGATATCAAGTGCGAAGGCAGGATGTCGCAGCTCCCTCGGCCCTCGCTGCTTGCGATTCCGATGTTGCCTGCTCCTTCCAAGAAACATGCATTGCGGTCGTTCACGCCCCCCATTCCTCCTCATCCGTCGGTCGTACAACGGCGAATGGAGCTCCTCACTTCTGACATGCTGTCTCGAGCCCTCGGACTCGTGGCCCGGGGTCAGAATGATCGTGCTCAGCATCTGCTGAGCGAGACGCGATCCATCCTAAAAGGTCTGGGCAAAGGTGTTTTGCCTCCCCTTCCTACACCTCCCCCCTCGAGCGCTCTTCCACCACCCACACCTCGGCAGATTGATTCTGCAAGGAATTCGGCCAACGAGCTCGGGTCCCCACACCCGCCACGCTCACCGAACCCATCAGAGTCACCCGTCCCGTTTGGCCCTAGTGGAGGAGGAGGCATCGACCGAGCGATAATGACGGCTCTCGACTCCGAACTGGAGGCCAGCCTCGAATGGATTTGCCACCCGACCGTGTTTGGAAGAGATACTCGCAAGTCCATCTTACAAGCCATTGGCGTGATCAGCTCCCAGCGGGCCTTCACCTTCCGGACACCATCGGAATCTCTGTGGGCACAACGAGTACCAGGGGTGAAGGGACTGGTGGACTGTAGCCTCAAGTGGCGCGAAGTCGGAGAAGACGAAGCTCTCCTCGAAGTCTCGGAAGCGAACACGTCGAATGTTTCTCTCTGTGATCATCGGTAGGATTTTGGATATATACCCCTCATTCATAAGAACAACAACAACTGCGATGTATGGGCTTGGGGAGGGAGAGAGGGAGAGAGTGTGTGTGTGTATGAGAGAGGGAGTAAGAGAGACAAAGAGAGTGTGAGAGAGACGAAGCTTGACGATTTGATGATCCAAAAAATTCCCTCCGTCCATGAACAAGGATAGCAGTCCTGGACGGAGAGTTTTTTCTTCTGATGATAACCTACCTACAAAACAGGCTTTTGTACAGTTGTTGTTGGAGAAGGAGAGGAGGAGGAGAGGATGTGATGGTGAGAAGACGAAGAGTGATGTTGGTTGAGAAGCTGGGAGGGTGAGGGGGTTTAGGCGAGTGGAGCGAACAGCCATGACTGCCCCCTCCCCCTCCTGCCCCTTTTTTCTCCTTTTTTCTTTTCTTTTCTTTCCTTCTTCAATTGTAAGGTACATGGCTAGCGGGCGGGCGGGACTGTGTGTGAGTACATGAATAATACCTTGGCGAGAGTGAAAGGGGAATGGAAAAAGGAAAAGGAAAATGGAAAGGGGAAGGGGACAGGGGAAAGGGGAAGGGGAAAAGAGAGAGCAGGAGAAGGAGAAGAAGAGGAAGAGGAAGAAGAAGAGGGCCCAAACAGGACATGTGTGTGTGTGTGTGTGATGGACGAGACAATGTTTGTGCTCTGACTATATACGTGACCAGGCCGCAGGATTTTTCTTTTCGAGTTTTGAGAGTTCTTATGCGCTATACTCCCTGCATGTGTACTTGGTGATTTGCTTATATTGGTTTTGTGCGATGATACCATTCTAGCTCTGAGGTATATACATGCATTACATACATACGGTACGTACATATATCTTCACATCTATCTATCTAGGTATCTACATTTTATCTGTCTGTCTGTCTATACCTAAGGTAAGGTACAATATCTCTTTTTTTTTTCTTTTTCTTTTCTTCTTATTTTATACGAATTCCGGAGTCCCTAGTTTTTCCTCCTTCCTTTCCCCTTCTCTTCTTCTTTTCTCTTCCTTTCCGGGTAGGTAGATAGATAATCTTGCATCAAGATACATCTATATCTACATCTACATCTATCTACCTGTATCAATCAATCAATATAAAGCAAAGCAAATCACATGTTTCTACACCGATGTATGTATGTATATACGTATGTACCTTATAAGTCTTATCTACTTTTTTATTTGAACTGAGATATATGGAGATATATGTAGGTAGATATAGGTAGGTAGGTAGATGTTTCAAGAAGAGGTAGGACCTGGTTGGTATTGGTGTGTGTAGATGGCTTTGGCTCTGGCTTTGGCTCTTGCTTTGGCTCGACGATAATGAAGAATGTCGATTCATGGCTTGCTTACTTCTCCCGAAAAGTTCTTTTTTTGGATTTTTATTTTCCTTGCGTGCGAAGATTTATTTATTTTTCTTTTTCTATTGATACGTAGGTACCTAAGGTATGCCTGCCCTGCCATGCAGAACCAAGATCTCTCTATCTAAGCTTGGATATTAGGTATTTTATTTTATCGAATAAAGGGGATCATGGTCCCGGTTCGCTTTCTGTATTCTACGTATTTGTCGCCGAAGAAGCTGATGAGAAATTTCTCCTCGCCTGTGGAGTTTTTTTCTTGGTTAGTTATTTATTTTTTGTATTTATTTTATACGTGCGAGCCTGAAGTGAGGGAGAGGCAGATGGAGGATTTCTTTCTTTCTTTTTGTTTTTTTTTCCTTTTGATAAAAAAGAAGCTTACCTTGAATGCGTGAATGAAAGAATTTCCACAACACGAGAATGTAACCAAGCAGACAGATTTTGTTGCCAATCAGAAATTGGGTTCCAATTGCCCAGTAAAAGAAGCCAAAGTAACTCGGATGCCGGAAAATCGAGTAGAAGCCGTGAGTAACGAGCTTGTGCGTCTCCTTGTGCTCTCGTGCTACGACGTGATTGAAACTCGGCCCAGCCTGTGCCATAGCAAAACTTCTCACAGCCTGCCCTACAAGCACCAGTACCACTCCGATAGCGATGGTTGCGGGATTGACCAAAGCCCGACCATAAGCCGGAAAAATGCGACTGACGATGAGTTCCACAGTAGCCAGTCCATGCGCAGAGTTGTACGCTCTCCCGTTATTGAACAACAGAAAACTCTCGGCTCGGAGGGCATTCGTGTTATATCGAGCCGTGGTGTAGTATTCCAAGAAATGGAAAATTGCCAAACAGGTCGCAAAGGCCGGAAGACGCCACCATGTCGACTGCAGACTGATGGCGATCATGGTCCCTGAGATGCCTGCGGCGGCAACGAGGCCGAGGAAGAATGCTTGGAGTCCTATCCAGGAGAGGTCGCGTGAACCTCCCGGAAAGAGCGAATCGTCCATGTGGAGTGGAGTGGTATCGATCACATCCTCGTCCCAGTCGGTATCGGGAAGCTCGTCACTCGGTGGGAGAGATTGCGACAGCGTGGTGGCATCGACGTCTGGGTGTGCAGACGAGGTCGATGTGGGAATGTTGTTGGCGTTGGTGTTGGCGGTACCGCTGCCGCTGCTGTGTCCGGCGCTGCTGGATGCCGAGACTCGCGCCATGGATTGATTGATTGATCCCTACGTAAGGGATGTATGTATATCAAATCACAACGACGATGGAGGGTTTGAGGGTGATCGGAGGAGGTCGTGGGGGATCATGTTGAGAAGAAGAAGAGCGTCTTTCATGTGATTCTGGATTGTCGAGATTCAGGTGGTCTCCATATCCGGTCATCTGCTTTCTTGCACTGCACACAATCTTAAGACGCAAGGCAGACGTGTCAGGGATCGCCCCGCCTTGGCACGCCTACTGTACCCGTCCGTGTCGCTTCGTCCTTCGTCTTCAATTTCGTCATTCAGCCTCGACATCGTACCTGTAGACATCGACCTTGCAACCAGTACAGATGTGACTGCGCATACTGCACGCTCCACGTTCCGAATATGATCCGCATATACGCGTGCTCCACGACAAGACAGCCGCAATGCCGTCTATCGAGGAGACTAAGAGGCAAGTAAAGGCGGGTTTGGAGGGCCAGCGGCGGCAGCAGCAGCAGCGACATGAAGTAGATCACGATGCCATTCTTGCCAGTCTGTGGGACGAGATTGACAGCCATAATGGACAGCACGAGGAGCTACATACGTCACGACGACATGAAGAAGAACATCAACAGCGTCAGCGCGGCCACGCCGACAGGAAGACTTCGAGATTTCGCTTCAAGGACGGTGCAGAACCCAGGAAGCGCAGGCATCGATCACGAGAGCGCGGGGGTGAGGGTGAGCATCGCAGTCGGCGCAAGCGCAGGAAAGAGCAACATAATCGAGAACAGTCAAACGAGGCTGCGCACCCATTTCCACGCGAACCAGCAAACCCCGATCGGAACGAATATGAGAATCCGAATGTCGCCTTCCAAGAATCTCTCTTCGATGCGCTAGCCGACGACGAGGGGGCAGCGTACTGGGAGAGCGTGTACAGCCAGCCCATTCACGTATTCCCACGGCCAACAGTTCAGACCGCCAACGGCGAGCTCGAGGAGATGAGCGACGAACAGTACGCGACCTACGTGCAGACCAAGATGTGGGAGAAGAAGAATCCGCATATCGTACTCGAGCGTCAGCGGGCAGAGAAACAGAGAAAGGAAGCCGAGGAAGAGAAAGCGAGGCAGCGAGAAGAATTTGTGCGCCGAAAGCAGAGAGCCGCGTGGGAGCGTGCGCAGAGTGAAGGTGCGAGGAAGTTCGCAGGGCTGGACGGTGATGATAAAGAGTATGAGTACATTTTTGATTTCAAGGACATGGAGCGTCCGACGCAAGAGGATCGGACAGTGGAGGAACAGGAATACCGCACGGCATGGAAGGAATATCTTACCGCATGGGACAAACTCAAGCTCGAGCTGCTGGAAACAGACGGAACGCTGTCCGAAGAGCCAATTGAATCGAAGCAAACGAGACGGCCTCATTCAAAGCGCATACCATGGCCGATATTGCAGTCGAAAGCTCTGACTAGACCGAATATGGAGGACTTTATGCGGCATATGCTGCTCGAGCCAGGAGGTCCGAGCAAAGAACAGATGCTCAAGTCGGAGCGTGTGAAGTGGCATCCAGACAAGGTGCAGCAGCGCTTTCGTGGGGAAGTGGATGAGGGCACTATGAAGATGGTGACTGGTGTCTTCCAAGTGGTTGACGCACTGCTGGAAGCCGAGCGGAAGCGCTGATGTGAGCTCAAGTCGGTAAATGATATCATGGCGTGTTCCCTCCTTGCTCGATACAGAAGGTACATATTTGGTGTAAGATACGAGTTCATACCCTCAGGCTCCAGCGGCAATGGCTTCAAAAGTCTCGTCCGATATGGTGGACGAGTGTCAGAGGTTTCGAAAATATCTTAGTGTCTCGGGACCCGTTCGTTCCTCGTGGCTGACGTAGTGCCCGTTGGTGGCCGGTCGTGCCAATACAAGTGTGCAAATAATAGGCATGAAGCATACCTCCTAGGTAAAGATAGGGTGCTGACATTGCGTACCTGCCAATACCAGAGATACATGTACGTACGTACTGTAGGTACGTATTCAGCTGTGTATCACATACCAGATGCGACATCAACACATATCAGAAGCCGCAGCATCCGTGCCCTACTCCAGTTCTATCTGCCTATTGGAGTCCAACGGTCACATGTGGCAAGGGAGCCTGGAAACGGTACAGCTTGATGTTCGGGCCATCCTGGCGGGCACCTTGACCGGTGGGCCGGTGGTAACGTCGGCGGATGGTGAGGTGAGCATTTAGTTGTGTTGTTGTTGCTGTTGTTGCTATGGTGCCTCTTTCGCTATGGTCGTATACTTCGTAGTTCGTACAATGCTCATACCTTGGCTTACCTAAGTGGCACTGATCGACTACATGCATGGTGTAGAAGGATCAGGATGCCGCGCATCTGCCGGATTAATATTAGTACGTACCTGGTACCTTAATGTATGATGGTATACATGTCAATGGGAGAACAAGCACGTCGGGGGCAGGAAACGAGAGGTATCGCTAACACGACCACGAGAACCTGGTAGTGCCCTCTACGGTAAACGTCTGCCCGCGCGGAGGAGGAAGCGTGGAGCTGGAGGGTGGAGAGGTTGGCATGGGTGCGTGTGTAGACTGGGCCTACCTCCTAGGTCGACTGAGTGACACGCGAAAGAATAGGAGGCAATCATTGGGCGGTTTGGGTGGGATCATGGATGGAAGTATCATGGAACAAGCTCTGGGCATCTGGCCGCAGCTCGGGACAAGCGCGTGGCTCTGGCGCAGGGCTAAGCCTAAGGATGCGACGATCGTGACCCCTACAATAATCACGGCCACGACTAGTACCCAGTCCGGCTAGTTGGTGTATGGGGAGTGAGGTGGAATGAGGGCGCAGCAACAGAATTGTTACTTCGCAACTTCGCATTATTGTTCGTTAAAAACTATTTTGTCCCGTAGCCTGTTACCTGTACTGTAAGGTCAGGTAGGTAACACTCAATTTTGCCCCTTCGGCCTGCGCAAGGTCCCGCAAAGGCAACTGCGTGTGACGGCCAAAACCCATCTCTCACCCTTCGGCCCTTCGCATTCGCGCCCGCGTTACAAAGTCCTTCCCAGCTCTCTCCTCAATTTGCTTCTGGTCACTCCTTTTTAATATTGCGAGACCTCCTCGATCCACCTACTATGCGATCACCTACCCCTTCGATACGATCACGGCACCGATACACCTGCTCACGCTCGTGAGCCGAGAACATCGACACCGACTACTACACGATTGATTGCATACCTGAACCTTCCTACCTGGACGCGAACGGCCGACTGCCTACCTCAGTGACTCGAGAATCTCTTTGTGCCCACTGCTGCCACCACCACCACCACCTCTACCACCACCATCGTCACGACCGCCATGGCAGCCAAGGACGGTGTGGAGGAGGCACTGTTGTATCGCATACACTCCGGCAGCAGTCAAGAACATGAGTCGGAGGGAGAGTACGAACTCGACGACTACCAAAGCGATAGCTCGCTCATATCATTCGCGAGACGAGGAAGACCGAAGTGGTTCAGAAGAGCGAGACACCGACGAGGAGGCTCGGGCTCCATATTCCACGCCCCCAGAAGGAGACGCTCTCCACTCTGCAGACTGGTGCAGCTCGCAGCTCTAGTGCCATATGTCATCAGTGCGTTGCTGCTTGTTGCTGGCGTGTTCTTCCCGAGCTATTCGGACCCACCATTGCGCTACCATGAGTTGCGACATCGTGTGCTAGAACGAGGAGAGACGGCGAATGTGCATAATGAGAAGATCTTCATTGCCGCGAGTTTATACGACAAGGAGGGCGAGATTGTGTCCGGACAGTGGGGCCAATCGGTGCTACACCTCATCAATATCCTGGGGCCGGAGAATGTCTTCCTGAGCATATACGAGAATGACCCGGACCCATTGGCGCGCGCCGTCCTCGATTCGTTCGCTCAAAATGTGACATGCGCAAAGGCCATTGTGACGGAACAATTGGATCTGAGCAAGCTCCACCACGTCTCGACGCCCGATGGCACGCAACGACTGAAGAGGATCGAATTCTTGGCCGACGTTCGCAATCGTGCTCTCCGACCATTGGACGATGTCACGTCGCCAGCGCACAGCACTCGTTTCGATAAGCTACTGTATCTCAACGATATCGTGTTTGACCCGATCGATGCTGCGAATCTGCTGCTCTCAACGAATGTGGACGAGACTACGGGCAGGACTCAATATCGAGCAGCTTGTGCCACCGACTTCATCATGCCATTCAAGTTCTACGACACCTTTGCGACTAGAGACCTCGAAGGCTACGATATGGGCGTGCCCTTTTACCCGTGGTTCACAGGAGCGGGCAAAGCAGAAAGCAGAAAGGACGTGCTTGCCCAGAAGGATGCGGTGCGGGTGAGGAGTTGTTGGGGAGGCATGGTTGCTTTCGAGGCGAAATGGTTTCAGAACGGCGGCTCGCACGGCATAGGGCAAAGTGCCGCCTTAGCATCTAATGGTCTGCCCAAGGCACAAGCCGCCCATGCGAGCTTCCACACGGATCCGCGTGACACACACATTGGTGCCATGGAGATGGACACGCTCGAATCCCCGCTGCGCTTCCGTGCAGTTCACGATACCTACTGGGACGCGTCGGAGTGTTGTCTCATTCATGCGGATCTCTCTGCTATGGATCCCGCCTCTCTGCCGGCAAACGAAACTGGTGTCTACCTGAATCCGTACATTCGGGTGGCGTATTCCAGCTCAGTCCTGCCCTGGCTCAGCTTTGTCAAGCGATTCGAACGTCTGTATACACCAATCCACACGATCGCGGACTGGATTGCAAGACGTCCGTCGTTCAACCCGCGACGACTACAGATCCCAGGGGAAGAGGTGGTGGATCAAGTGTGGACATGGGACGCGGAGAGTCTAGAGGCCATTCGCAATGGTATTGACAAGTCGCATTCCAGCCTTAAGGGCGAATACAAGGAGGTGCATCGCATTGCTCTCCCAGGTGGCTTCTGTGGGAGGAAGAGTTTGCTCTTCATTAACGAGGACCCTTTGAGCGGGTCCGACAAGAAGTGGGGATCTGAAAAACTTCCTGTGAGATAGGATGTATGGGAGGAGGATTTCTTTGTGTGGTTTGCGTTCAAGCGTGTCCGAAAGATTGCCGCATCACATCAAGTTTGTTGGTGGCAGTGGCGATTTCTGGCGGAGTTCATCGGCGGTATTTTGAATGCTGACCCCAAGTGCTGGAGAGTCAGCTGCATTGGTTTTGTTTGTGTTGCGAAGAGCATCGGAGTTGGGCATATTACCCACCTACATCCTATAGCTACCCACGTTATTGTAATGCGAGACTGCCTATCACAAGACGATGAACTTGTCCCATGTCTCCCTCTCTTCCTCTCCCTCTCTCGTCTTATCTCACCTTCTCAGCGCCTAGCAGACTACAACGGGAGGGTTGTACAGTCCTCGAGTCCTCGGAAGAATAAATGAACCCTGTGCGGTGGCGCCCTCTGATTGGACGGAACGCGTTCGTTCACGCGCGCGTTGTTTCGAAAGCGCATGAGCTATTTTTCATGCATGTGATCGGATAGCCCGTCTTCCCCGTGTGAAAGATTCCTAGGAGGTAGGACAACATAAGTGCACAGCTGCTTCTTGCGCGCAGCAGGCACCGACAGTCAGACAGCCATGTCCAAATTCACTCTGGCCGTAGTGGCCGGCGCCGGTGCAGCGGTGGGAGCAGCAACGACTGCAGCCATCTATGGCATCAGCAGGCCCAGAGAAACAGGCACAAACACCATCGCAACAACCACGACCTCCACCTCGACGACGTCTCGAACAGCACCGGCGCCTCCAGTTCCTGCCCCAGCTGCGCCTCTCCCTCGCTCACAACGAGAACCAGCTCTCCCGCCCGTCGATCCTGCCGGCGTCTTCCAGTACGGCTTCCCAGGACCCGTCGCAGACATCCGCAATGCGCCGTCCCTCACATCTTCCTACAACCGAGCCACCCGCAATCCTCACTGGGTCGCCGAGCACATCACGCCCGCATCCCTCCTCATCTCCAATGGCGATCGTCGTCACTCCACCTTCACCGAAGACATGTCCATTCCAGAAAAGTTTCGAGCGAAACTGAAGGACTACTTTCGTTCGGGCTACGATCGCGGCCATCAAGTGCCCGCCGCTGACGCCAAATGGAGCCAAGAAGCCATGGATGGAACTTTTGCCCTCTCCAACATGTGTCCTCAAGTGGGCGAGGGGTTCAACAGAGATTACTGGGCACATTTTGAGGACTTTTGCAGGAGGTTGACAAGTTACTATCCATCGGTGAGGATTGTGACGGGACCGTTGTATCTCCCGAAAAGAGATCCCGTGTCGCAGAAATGGAAAGTGGAATACGAGGTGGTGGGACATCCTCCCAATGTGGCAGTGCCCACGCATTTTTACAAAATCATCTTTGCGGAGGATGGCAAGGTGGGAGGGAATGTCAGTCTGGCAGCTTTTGTGTTGCCCAATGATCGAATATCTAATGACAAGCCTTTGGCGGACTTTGAGGTGCCCATTGAGGCGTTGGAGAGGGCCAGTGGGTTGGAATTTGCGTCTCTGCTTCCTCCTGCGAGGCGGAAGCAGTTGTGTAAAGAGGTGGCGTGCAGTGTGATTATCAAGGAGTATGCGCAGAGGCAAAAGGCTTTCAGCAAGAGTCCGGAGCAGATTCAACCTAGTCCTGCACCGCCGCAGCCTTCACATACGCCCTGGGGCTCACGATAAGAATAGATGCTGCTGAATAGCGAAGTCAGAGTGGAGAGATCTGAGCAGTGCCGTGTTTGTCTGTTGCCCTTTCTGCAGTCCATAGAAGCAAGGGGGCGCGAATCATGCTTCATCAGGAGTGCAGTAGCGACAGTGACGCTTCCACATGACCGATTTCGAAGAGCTACCTGTAGTTACAGTAGGTATTACCTCCAGGAGGTAGATGCAGCAAGGATAGCGAGGAAATCATGGGGCCAGAGGCGCCTCCCGGCTCCCGCTGTCAGAGTTGCGTGACGACCAGGTTACCGTATTGTGAAGATCCATACCTTAACGGTTAACCCTAAACGGCGAATTTGAGCGCAGGCTAGGAGGTAGTTGGCTGGCACTGGCAGATGGAAGAGGAGACAAGACTCCAACAACAAGTCTCCAACACAACAGGTCGAAGCTCACACGTGCCTCTGTCCCCGGTACACATACACACTTTGGGTCTACGTACAAGTTTACAACAGGATCTTCACGGGTTCAATAGCAACTGGAACTGTCAAAAGACCTTGGAAAGTTACTACGAGCTCAATTGAAATGGTGCCCTAAGACGGTATAGAGAAGCCAGATGATGGACCTATGGATGATGGTAGGAGGTAGGAGGTAGGTGGTATAGGGAGGCTAGGAGGTACGGTACCCACGAACAAACACGTTGTAACACTGTAACACAACATCTCCGCGCGACCAGGCTGGGCCCTACCTGCCTAGCAACCTTGTTCAAAGAGCCTGAAAGAGGTTCCCATTTACTCGATGCAGAGGGACAGACCACCAGATCCATATGGTTAAGGTAGATCGTACCATGGGGCGAAGGAAAGTTGCAGTCTGAGATGAGTTTGCACTGTTGCAGACCGCCCGGCAGCATGTTTGAATTTATACTTTTTTTTCCCTTTCGGGATTGCTTTCTGGGATTATTTGCTGGCTCTGCTACTGGCTTTGGCTTTGGCTTTGCCTCTTCACGATAGATGGTACGGACGGACCCATGCGGCATGAGAGAGCATGCGTAGACGGTTGTCGACACTTCTCAGGTCCCTCTAAAAAAAAACTCAAAAAAGCAAGAATACCTTACTTTACAAGAATGCCCGCTTGACAGACCAGGCTGCAAATACAGGTTGTCGGATCGATACGGGGGGAGTCTGTTGTTGGAAAGTTCACTTTTCTTTTTTTTCCTTTTCTTTTCTTCACATCTTTCTCGATTATCTTCATCGCCACTACTCTTCTACGAGGCTATTGATTCCCTCGATTCGAGAATCATGTCCCCACCCGAGGAAAATCAGATGATGCCCAAACGTGAAGAAGAAGAAGAAACACAAAAAGCAAAAGAAGAGAAACATCCTTCCCTCGACCATGAAGCGCAAAAACACCACAATAAAAACGTCACAGTCATTCTCGATCTCGAAGAATCCACCTCCACCACCTCCTCCTCCAAAACCTCCTCATCCTCTCCCAGCAATGGCGAATCCTCCTTCCCCTTCACCCCTCCAGATCAAAAACGCATCATCCGCCAAATCGACCTCCGCGTCGTCCTCCTCCTCGGAGCCATGTACGCCGTCTCCCTCATCGACCGCTCCCAAATCGGCCTCGCCATGATTTCCGGCATGGGCACAGATTTACAACTTACCGTGGGAGCTCGCTACAATATCATCAATGCCGTGTTTTTTGGGCCCTATGTGCTGTTTCAATTGCCTTCGACGGTGCTGTTGAGAAAAATTGGACCCAAGAGGTTTTTGTCCGGGGCGACGTTGGCGTGGGGGTTGGCGACGTTGGCGTGTGGGTTTGTGAGGGAGTGGAGGGATTTGGTGGCGCTGAGGGTTGTGTTGGGGGCTTGTGAGGCGGGGTTTTATCCTGGTGGGTTTTTTTTATTTCTTTTTTTATTTTCTTTTTCTTTTATTTTTTTTCTTGGTTGCATTGGATATACACTTATATTCAAAGAGAATCAGAGAGAAGGAGAAGGCAAGAGAAGGAAAAAGAAAGGAAAAAGAGAAAGAAATTATATGCTTCTTGTTTTTTTCTGGTTTACGCTATTCACTCATATTACCTACCTACCACTTCCCCTTTCTCTTCTCTCTCCTCCAATCAAATCTAGCTAACCACCACCACCCCTCTCACCCTTTCTCTCCCTCCAAACAGCCAGCATCTACCTCCTCTCCACCTGGTACACGCGCTACGAACTCCAAAAACGCTTCGCAGGCCTCCTCATCCTCGGCGTCATCCCCGCCGCATTTTCCGGTATTCTCGCCTTTGGAATCTCGCACCTCGAAGGTCGTGGCATTGCAGGAGGTGGACCTTCTTGGTGGGGAAGTTTGAAAAGAAAATATCCCCTCGATCCTAATGCATCTTCTTCTCCTACGTATGGGCCAGGTTTGGCGGGTTGGAGATGGATTTTTATTTTATATGGAATTACGACGTGTGTGATTGCTGGTGTGGCGTGGTTTTTGTTGGTGGATTTTCCGGAGAAGATTGCTTTTGGTCGGGGGACGACGACGACGACGACGACGGGGGATCATTTTAATCATGATGATGGTGAGAATGAGAAGAAGAAGAGCAGGTGGTGGTGGTGGTGGAAAATGAAGAATAAGAAAAAGGTGGCGTTTTTGACAAAGCAAGAAGCTGCGTGGGCTGTGCATCGGATTGAAAAAGATCGAAATGATGTTATGCCTGGCGAGTGAGTACTTTTTCTTTTCTTTCTCTTTTCTCTCTTTCACTATCATTAACCAGCAACTCAACTCAACCCAACTCATCAAGTGAAGAATTTCTTTTTTTGAAAAAAAGAGAAAAAGAAAGAAAAAGAAAAAGCTAAAAAAAGACCAGATTCCACCTCTCCTCCTACCTCTCCCCCATCCTCTCCCTCCAAGTCTGGTCCTTCGCCCTCCTCTACTGCCTCTCCGGCACCATCGGCTACGGCATCAATTTCGCTCTCCCCTTAATCCTCCACAAAGGAATGGGCTTGAGTACTCCCGTCTCGCAATGTTTGGTCACTCCGCCCTATTTGGCCGCGGCGGGTGTGACGTGGATTGAAGCGTATTATGCGGATCAGTGGAGAGTGCGATCGCCGTTTATTTTGGGGAATTGTGTCGCTGTGGGGGTTGGTATGTTGTTTTTTTTTCCCCTTTTTTTCTTTCTGTCTGTGGAGTTCTCTGACGGAAAAAATTTACATGTATTAGGTCTCTGCCTCATCGGCTTCGTGGAAAATGTCGGAGTGAGATATTTTGGTGTGTTTTTGGCGGCGATTCCTTCGACTGCGAATGGACCTTGTATTTTGACGTGGCAGGCGAATAATGTTCGAGGTATCTCTTTCTCTCTCTCCTCCCGTCTCCCTCTCTCTCCTCTTAACAAATCAACCACAAACTAACCAAACAAAACACAGGCCAATGGAAAAGAGCTCTAGTTTCCGCCCTTTCTGTAGGATTGGGAGCCATAGGAGGAGTTACAGGGTACGTTCTTCTTCGTCTTCTCGTCCTCCTCTTCATTGATTCCTCATCAATATCATCTCTTTCCAGCTTCAGAAACAACAACTACTGACTGAAAAAAAATGTCAATTTGTCAAAAAAAAAATAGATCCATGGTATTTCGAACTCAAGATCAACCCCATTATACACCCGGAATCGCCACGTGTATTACGGCAGCGGGACTCATCATGGTGATTGTGGTGCTGCTGAACATCACCTTTATGCGAGCCAACAAACGAGCAGCGGCGGGAGGTGAGCCGGTGGAAGGGCTCGTGGGATTTCGGTGAGTTTCAATGTTGCGGTGCTCGTTCCGCGTCTGGTACAGTCATGCATGTGATTTGGAGCATAGACACACTAACGAAGCCATCTATCCAGCTACACACTGTGATTGTTGCCAATACGGTCATACCAGGACAACACATCTACACGATCCCATCCAGAACACCTGCGAGGATTTGCATCCGACTCTATCAACGTTCCTCGTTACACTGTCCCAACATCGCATACGCATCCAGGGTATCTCAAGTACTGCCATCAACATCATTATCATCATAATCATCACCATCATCCCATGCCAAGCCCATCCGAGCACGCTCACAGATCGCCGTCGCTTTCACATCATCCCTCTCCAGTTTCTCACAAGGCGACCATCAAGCCCAAGACTGCAACAGCACCCGCCATCCACGTGCCGACGCGTCGGACCGGTGCAGCAGCTCCCTCGCTGTTCAGACTCGGGGCGGCAGTCGTCGTCTGCGCAGGCACATTGACCACGGCGGTATATGTCGACGTGGTGGGACCATTGGGGCCACTGAACGTCTCCACGCTCGTGAAGGTCGATGGCGATGGCTTGGCGGAAGCAGGAACAGTCGTCACAAAGACCGAAGTGACATTGTGAGCAGTGGGTATGGCACTGTGGGCGGAGGTGGTCGTATTGGAGTAGATGGGAGTCTGCGGCGGGGGCTTGCTATTCGGACTGGTCGTGGCGTTGCAAAAGACGGATCCGATTTGTTGAGTGTTAGTCGAGATGAAGCTGGGAGTGGTGCTGTTGAAGGGGAGGCCCGCATTGTCCGAGGCATCCGCATTACGATATGGCGTGCAGGTCACGGCGGTGAGGTTCACGCCCGAGGCCTGCGTCAGGTACAGGGTGGAGACGGCATCCAGGGCGGGATTGGTGTAGTAAATGGAGAGAGGCACGGTGATGGACGTGTTGGTGAGACCCACGCCGGCTCCTCCATGACTGGTTTCGATAATGACCACGACGCTCTGTGCAGCGATTGTGGTGGCGGCCGTCAAGATGGTGGTGGCAGTTCTTGCACGCATACTGAAGGAAGGTTTTGGGATGGACTGGTTCCGGTATGTCTGATAGGTGTTTGTAGGTCTGCAGTGAAGGAACGGGTAGGTAATACTGTATAGAGGCCTAGGAGGTGTACAAATAGGGATCCCTTCAGGTTGGTGAAGTCGGGTGAAGTGAAGTGAAGTCAAGTGAAATGGACGGGAGAGGAGAGGAGGAGACAGAGTGGAATGGAATGGAAAGTCAAGTGTTGGTTTTGCCTTGCCTGCCCTGCCCTTGAGGTGCCTTCCTTGCCTTTTTCATCGACGCGTCCTCTTGCCTCCCGCCCTCCCGCCTTCAGCCTCACATCCTTCCACCTCCCGCCTGGCGCCTTCCGCAGTCAGCTCAGAGCTGCGCAAACACAGCAGGAGTGAGCCTCATCCAGTCGTGGTCCGGGGGAAGGAACGACTAAATATAGTGGGCGCTAAGACCCCGTCACCCTTACGGACGGCGCGGCTCTTTGCCGACCAGGATGTACCCCGTCTTTTGTTTTCCATTTGCCTGCTGCAGCCGCTGAGCTGAGTAGGCTGAGTCGTCTTTTTCTTCTCTCTCTCTCTCTCTCTCACACATACCTCCTACCTTAGGTATACTCTCTCTCATATTCTCATTTGTCATCAGCTCCTCTCACTACTCTCCTATAGGCAATTTAGCTGTACATACCTCCTAGTGCACTCTCCGTCTCGAGACACCGCCAGTACGTGGCCCGAGCTCGTTCGGTTCGGCAGCAATCTCTTCCTCCATACCCCGACCTTTCCCCCGAATCCGCCGAATTGGACCTCCCTTACCCCACACGGACATCCTTGGCGGCTCTGTCATGTGATCTCTCTCCATCGCACTTCACCATACCCCATTCTCGGCGCGTGTCATTCTGCACCGAGCCGGCTGTTTCTTTACTCGCGTGCACTGCCGCTGGGGAAGATTTGTTTTTGTTATTAAACATGATTGAACATCGAAGCACGGTCACGGTCACGGCAACAGAAGGCACTCGGCCTGCCGACGCATGGGGGGCGGTCTGATGATGTTGATCAGAGAGTCACAGAGACTGTGGCACAGCCAAGGATATGCACCCGCATCATAGACGGACGGGATGGATGGGATGGTTCGACTGGCGACATCTACCGTCTGAACCAGCAGCATGAACAAGCAACGTGAACAAGCAGCGCACTGAGCGCAGGCAAGCGGTGTTCTTGATGATCACCGCTCCCTACGTGACCTTAGCATACCACCTACCACCTGAAGTCTCCACCTTGCCCTCATCCTCCCACCTCGCTTGCACCATATCTCCCTCCTACCGTACAAGCAATACTTGGCGCTCGGCAGCATCCAAACACCAAGACTGGCAACGAGAGGGGTCCTGCATTCTATGTACCGCAAAAATGCATACCGTATACCACAGTAACCGCACTCCACTGCCTCTACTGTCCACACCTTTCTTCCATCCGTCGGCGGCACCCGCCCGCGCCACCGCTCCACCTCATTTAGGCAAGACTACCGAGGAAGGTTATAGAAGGCGCCCCCTCGTCCAAGGCTATATAAGTTGGCCAAGGCGAGCCGTTCATCACCATTACTTGTGGCATCATCGACGTCCTGTTCTGTCTGACTCTGCACGTCCGTGACCATGCCGGCAATCACCTCCATCCTTTCCACTGCCGCTGCCTTCGTCGGCCTCGGTCTGGCCATCCCTCATTCGAGCATCACAGCCCGACAGCTGGCCACACGCTCCGACGCCTCTCCCAGCGTGACCGTCAAGAATGGAACCATTGCCGGCATCCACCAGCCCGATTACAACCAGGACTTCTTCCTAGGTAAGTCATCTTCTTCGTCACGGGTAACCACCATTCGATATGCCGTCACTAAGTGCCCACTCTGCGTCACAGGCATTCCATTCGCACAACCGCCGCTCGAGCAGCTTCGCTTTCGCAATCCACAAAGCATCAATGCCTCCTACGACGGTGTCTTTCAGGCGACTGAGTATGCGCCCATGTGCTACGGATATGGGGTATGCTCCTTGCTTCCGCCTTTTTTTCCCTTTTTTCCCTTTATTTGTGTTTTCCTTTTCATTCATCATTGATGCATGGCGACTGACTGGAAATTAGGGCGATCAAATCGGCTATCCGTACGTCCGTTATTCGGCTCCATCGTCACTGGGTGCAACTCGACTAATGACCATCTAGGCAATCGGAAGACTGTCTTTACCTGAACGTTGTCCGACCTTCGGGCTACGAAAATCAATCTCTCCCCGTGGGAGTGTGGATTCATGTAATGCAACCCCAACACACGCTGATGATGATGACGATGATGAAGTCCGGAGCTGACAATGCCGCAGGGCGGTGGACTCTATCAAGGTGGTTCCCGAGATGATCGCTACAACCTCACATTCATCGTCGAGAATGCGGTCCGCATCGGCAAGCCATTCATTGCCGTGTCCATCGCCTATCGACTGGGACCCTGGGGTTTCCTCCAATCTGAAGAAGTCAGTACGAGTGGTGATACGAACATTGGCTTGCGAGACCAGCGCCTGGCACTGCACTGGCTCCACGAGAACATCGATGCATTTGGTGGCGACTGCCGCAAGGTGACCATATGGGGGGAGAGCGCGGGTGCGGGCAGCGTGGGCTGGCATATTACCGCATACGGTGGCCGAGACGATGGCCTGTTCCGAGCGGGCATCATGCAAAGTGGCAACCCCGTCCCCTACAATGGCTACGAGACCCTTGCCAAGTACCAACCACAATACGATGCATTGGTCGACGCCACCAATTGTACCATGGCCGCCGACACCTTGACCTGCTTGCGCGAGGTGCCATCCGACTCGCTGGCACAGCTCTTCAGCGATACGTCCAGTCTTAATGAAGGCTGGCGTCCCATTGTCGATGGCGATTTCATTCAGCGTCTGGCATCCGCCCAGTTGGCGGAGGGCGCTTTCGTCAAGGTCCCCATTCTCACGGGAGCCAACACGGACGAAGGGACCGCCTTCGGTCCTCAAGGCATCGACACGGACGATCAATTCCGCAGTTACGTGGCGGACCGCACCGAGAACCCATACATACCCGAAGACCTTGCCGATGAAGTTCTTGCAGCATATCCTAATACTCCGGCCTACTTCATTCCTCCAGTGGAGAATATCGGCAACTACACCTTTCCGGCTTCGTATGGTGCACAATACCGACGTGCCGCAGCCTACGCAGGTGATGTGACCTTTATCGCACATCGCCGCGGTGCATCGGAGACCTGGGCAGCCAACGGTCTTGCAGCATATAGCTACCGATTCAACACAGTCCCTGCAGGCATAGACTTCTATGTGGGGGCGACGCACTTTCAAGAGGTCGCATTTGTAAGTAGTGTTCCTATTTTCCTTCTGATTTGGCTCCTCTCGACAATTATTCGCTCGGTAGCAGCATCGAGGCATGCTGACATTCCCATCCTAGGTATTCAACAATACGCTCGGTCTCGGATACAACGAAGAGCACGGCACCGTCAATCCCTTCCTGAACAAGTCTCAAAGCTATTACGACCTCGCCGCTCACATGAGCAAATCCTGGGCCTCGTTCATCTACGATTCGGATCCCAACTACGAGGTATCGTGGCCCGAGAGCGCTCCCGCGTGGCCCCAGTATAGTCTTGACAAGCCCGAGAATATTGTCTGGGACGCGAATGTCTCCGCACTGGCCTTTGTGGAGCCGGATACGTTTCGAGAGGAGGGTATCAGATGGATTCTGGACCATGCGGAGGAATATAATCGGTGATGATTTGGTGTTTGTGTGTGCATGATGGGCTTTTTTTGAGAGTCATGCATGTAGCACACTCAACAATGAGAAAGGTTTCATATCGATTTCTGGTTGATTTTTCCTGCTCTGTTTATGTTTTTTCTTTTTCTTTTTCCTTTTTTCTTTTCTCAAGACCAGGAGAAGGTGATGATGTCTATAAAAGTAGGAGTATAGGAAAACTGACTACTCAGAGTATGTAGGGAGGTAGCCAGGGAATAACCAGAAATGCGAGATGAAGAGGGATAGTACTGATGATGAGATTTGGATTGGGAAGCTAGGATAGGTACCGTAGCTACGTAGATGGAGTTCCCAAGCGAGTAGGAGAAGCGAAGGGGGGAAGCGGGTTTAATGATGATATTATTTCCACTATTTTCGACACATGTCATAATCACCACCTATAAAAAAGTCATCGTCAGTTAACTTCTTCTTTTTCTTCTTATTCTTCCAAATAGAACCCACATTTAAAGAAGAAACCAAACAAAAAAAGGAAAAGAAAAAAAAAACTCACCTCTCCCCGTATGTATCCCCCCACTAACCAACAAATCCGCCCCCGTCACATACGCCGCCGCCTCACTCAACAAAAACACCACAGCGGGCGAAACCTCCTCTGGCACTCCAATTCTCCCCAACGGCGGAGCAGTCTGCATCAACTCCCCACAAGCCTGCGTCGTATTCTCTCTCGCGCCTCGAGTTTGATTCGTCTCGATAAACGCCGGACTGACAGAGTTTACTCGGATGTTGAGAGGGGCGAGTTCGGAGGAGAGGACTTGTGAGAGGATTTTAATGCCGCCTTTGGAGACGTTGTAGCCGGACATGCGGTAGCCGGGGAGGTTGATGTGGGCGGTTATGCTGGCTATGAAAACTATGCTGCCGCCTGTGCGTTGGAGTTGGAGGTGTTTGACGAAGAGTTGGGCGGCGAAGAAGGAGCCTAGGGACTTTTTTTGTAGGACGGGGTGTTAGTTGGATTTGGTTTTCTGGGGGGAGATGTATCATACGTTGACTTCGAGAACTTTGGAGACTTCGCTCCAGGTTTGGTCGACAAAGGGCTTGTCAATAGCGATGCCGGCTGCGGTGACGAGGCCGTCGATTTTGCCTAATGACTGTACAGCTTTCTCAAATGCCGTCTACGAATTCCCCGTGTTAGATGCAAGTGATGAAACACGATGTGGAATTCGATACATCAGACTCACCGTCAGGCTGGCCTCGTTGCTGACGTCTGCTTGAAAGTAGTAGACTTTGACATTAAACTGTTTCGCAAGGCCGTACACGTCCTCTAGTGGTGAGTCTCGCAGGTCGATGACTGCAACGTTGCCACCGGACTCGGCAATGTCTTTTGCGATACTGAAACCTGTGATGTATTTAGTGTTAAGTACATGTACATGTGATCTTTCCGTGCTATTAGAGGCATACCAATGCCCATCGCTCCTCCTGTCACCACATAACTGCGGCCTTTGAGGGAGAATTTGGCTGCTATGCTCGATGCCATGATGGATTTGAGAAGATGAAAAGTGACAGGTATGTGTGAAGTTGCGGATGTACTGGCGAAAGAAGCAACCGATGTCTATAGCAAAATAAACACTCTTGCACTTCTTCTTCCTCTCCCTCGTCTTTTATCACCACGGAACTGCTTCCAGCCGCCGCCGCCGCCGCCGCCGCCGCTCACCAGCAACAGCGGCAGTAAATCTACTCTCAATACGCCTTCGGAACGATTCCTACTTGGGGTCTCCTAGTGAGCGATCCGATTCCGCCGGGTGATGACATACGTACTTAACCGGAATTTCTATATCAGATCGCCAGCCGACGTCCATTCGCAGTGCTTTGTTTTTCTCGCAATCACCGACCTTGCAATTCTTTATTCATTAAGCATTTGCCGAATTGTCTTATCACTGCGTTTCGTTTAAGGATGAGGTGGAGGTTCGTTGGATCAGTCTCGGACCGTACCCCCTCCCCTCTCTCTCTCTCTCTCCCAGGCAGACGGAATTCACTCCATCGATACGATAGCATTGATGGAACGAGGCGCTAGGGCGCTGCAGGTACTGCATCTGTTATCAGAGTTTGCCGGGTTGAGTGTACCCATTCGTGTCTCCGAGTGGCAGAAAAATGGGGGAGGGATGGAATTGTCGGTGCGGGGGATGCTGGTGAAGATGCTGGTGAAGAAAGTGGAGAGCAACAAAGCAAATGACATCGGCCCGTGAACAACTTGAACTCCTTTTTCCCCAGAACCAGGTTTTGAAGTGGTACAACCGAGAAGAAGTCAACTCAAGATAGCGACAATCAGCAATGCTGTCCACTAAATGCATCAACTGGCGGTATCGCACTGTGTCCTTATCAATTGAGGCGGCGAGACATTCGGATCCTGAACCCTCAGCGGCGCCAGGATTACATCTTCTATCAGCCTGATACGGATGCTAAATACTTCTATCAAGAGACGTCGGCACATGCGAAGGACGTTGTTGTCATTCCCACTTTCTGAAAAGAGAGATTGTGTGTTGCTCACATAAAACTAGTCATCCACAATGGTAATGGCGGAGAAGCATGACATGATTGTGGTCGGAGCCGGTAAGATGCCATTACACCTTAACAGACTCTTGCTCGCATCGTCGTGCGCCGGATGCTGATATTCAGTTCTAGGCTGGTTCGGCCTAGCTGGTACGTGATGCAGACATATAAGCTGTGTACATGTGCGCGCGTCGTCTGATTGCTCCGCAATGCTCATGCTGTCCCATTAGCCGCCAAGACATATATCGAGCTTCATCCCGCCGAGGATGTGGTTGTTCTAGAAGCCGAGAGCAGCTGTGGAGGCACATGGTCTGAAAACAGGCTCTACGCTGGCCTCAAATCCAACAACTTGCATGGCTCCTACGAGTATCCCGATTTCCCTATGATACCCGAGAACTACGGTATCACACACGACGACCACATCCCCGGACGTGTTCTGCACAAGTACCTCACCGACTTCGCCAAGAAGTTTGGTGTCTTCTCGCGAACACGTTTTCTCACAAGAGTGAACTCGCTCGAGCCGACATCCGATGGCGGTTGGCAACTGGAGACCGAGTGTGGAGAGAAGCAGCAGAAGATGTATTCCGCAAAGGTCATTATAGCTACGGGACTGACTTCGCAACCCAACTTCCCCATCTACCCGGGAGCCGAAATGTTCAATGCTCCCTATTTCCACGCCAAAGACTTTTGTCGGCAAGGCGAGACCATCAAGACATCGAGAAAAGCCGTCGTCGTTGGGGGCGCCAAGTCTGCCTTTGACGTAGCATATGCCTATGCCGAGCAAGGCGTAGAGGTTGACCTGGTCATTCGACCCAGCGGCAACGGTCCCGTCTGGATATCCTATCCGTATGTCATGGGGGGGAAGCGGCTGGAGCAGCTCCTTCATATCCGCTGGATGCAATGGTTTTCCCCATGTCCATGGGGTGGCGAAGGCGGTGCATTGGGTACTCGGATCCGCAACTTCTTACACGGCACCGCCATCGGTCGTTTTCTCGTCGACAAGTTCTGGGGAGGTCTCGGCGGAGAAGTCATCTCTGCAAATGGATACGACTCGAATCCCCAACTCCAAAAAATCAAGCCCTGGAATCCTGCCTTCTGGATCGGAAGCGGTCTGAGTATTCACAATTACGACAAAGACTTTTTCGACATGGTCCGCACCGGCGCTGTGCGAGTTCACAACGCTGACATTGAACGTCTCACCGACCACACCGTCCATCTCACCGACGGCACCGACCTCGAAGCCGACGTGCTCGTATGCTCGACAGGATGGCGCAAAGAGCCTTCGATCCGCTTCCTCAACTTTGGAACTGCAGGCATCGGTCTCCAACACTCTCCTACAGAACAATCCCGACTCGCAACACACTACGACGAGAAAATCCTCTCTCTCTATCCCAAACTCCGTTCCCAGCCTACTCTGAATTTCAAACCCAAAAATGACCCTTATCGTCTCTATCGCTTCATGGTCCCTCCCGCCCGTCTTACTGATCGCAATATTGCTTTCGCCGGCATGGTCTCTTCCGTCTCGACTTCCATTTGCGCATCTGTCCAAGCGCTCTGGATTTCCGCTTTCCTCGACGACCGTCTGGATCGACTCGCTCGCTCCGAAGAAGATATTACCAAGGAAATTATGTTGCACACACAATGGGGTAAATGGAGATATCCTTGTGGTTATGGTGCAAGTTTACCCGGTAAGTTATTCTTTTTTTTCTTCGCATGATTTTCTGCAGCAGCATACAACTAACCCCAAAGGGAATTCTTTTTCTTTTTTTCTCTCTCAGATTTCGTCTTCGACGCGGTCCCGTATATGGATTTAATGATGAGAGATTTGGGACTCCAGGCCAATCGGAAACAGGGCTGGAAGGATGTGTGGCAACCGTATGGTCCTGCGGATTATCGAGGTTGTGTGGATGAGTGGGTGGAGAAGCATGGTGGTGGGAAGAAGGTTTGATGATTTGATAGCTGGGAATTCATCTTGATTTTCAGGCTCTTTTTCCTTTTTTTGCTCTCTCTTTGAGCATTGAGTGCATATACCGTTCTTGTAGAATTGGGGGGGATGGATTTTGGAATGATTGCTTGCTTTTTCTTCTTCTTCTTCTTCTTCTTCTTCTTCTTCTTGATTATATATATTATTCCACGGAAGTTTAAATTGCTAATTAAAAGTATCCGGTCCTTCAGTGAAGGCTAAGCATTGCAACAACACAAATAATACATAAAGTAGCAGTCATGCAACTCATATCCCTCCATCTTAGCTCCAGCGGGCAGTCCCCACATCCCCATCCCTATTCTTAGCATCGCAAAGCGACTAGACATCTTCTCCGCAGCCCTTTGCTTAAACTTTCTCTTCTCCGCCGCTACTTCTCAGCCTCGCGAAGAAACTCGCCCAACTTCCAGATGATTACCCACCATGACTTCGACCCCTTCGCTAGCAATTTTCGCCCCGAGAATCCCTTGAGATTTGATATCCTTACCCTTACGAACGAAGTAAACACCTTCGCGACGGCCGCTTCGCTGCTTCGTAGGGCGGAGTTCCCAAGCCCTATTACCTCCTTCTAGCAATGTGTTATGTGAAAGCAAGCGTTATTGTCCTATTGGATAGAATCTTATATTGTATCGACACCTAGTAACGGAGAACCAAACTCGAAGACTTTTACGCTAATGGCGTCGTTTTCGCTGGGAAGTTGTGTGGAGCGGGTATCCATCCCTTGAATACTATATCTTCGTTATAGTAATTTAGACATTGCTGAATCGTCCGCGGGCAGAGGTACGATTTTGACGGTATAAGAGAAGGGAGTTATGCCGGGGTCGGGCTCCGTAGGTCTAGTCTAGAAATTAGGATACGATATTACAGAGTCGCTCGCTGGCTTGGATAAAAAGATGATTGTATGCCTAGAAACTTGTTATTAGTAGGTATACACAAGAACGGTACGGTAACTTCTTTTTAAGCACGATATACCTTCCTTACCTTACCCTAGGCGTAGCGCCTAATACCAGCTAGCTATATTCCTTATTTTTAATGTCCTACAAGCTTGTACGACGAAACTCGGAGAGTATATTAAGCAGATTATTGTTAACGGCGGTACGGGGGACGTGGATATTAAATAGGATTCCGAGGATAAGTAGTTTTGTAATAAGAGACTCGATATACTTTGAGCTCTATAGTCGGATAGCTAGATTTTATTAGTTCTTAGATAAGTACCTAGGTAGTAAAGCATTTTTATCGCCGGCTTTACAACTTTTCTACGCTGCTGCGAGGTTAGGGCTAAACTTTGCTCGCTATTCGGTATGTTGCTGAGCTAGAGGGCGTAAGGAAGATAGGCAGGGTAAATAGAGCTCTTCCTCTATTTTTTCTTCGCCCTATAGCGAGTTTAGGAAAATTGTAAGGATATCTATAATGACTTTGTCGATAGGGATGGATGTTTAGCTGCCGTTGAGGGAGCTAGGTGTTGATGTAGTACACAGCGCTCAGGCAAGACGGCGATGATGGACGGCGAGGTTGATACCTAAGGCGCAAGGGGACAATATCTATATAGCACAGCTGGTAGACACTTAATTGACAAGATTATGGATCTCAATTTTACACTTCAACATGTAGTCTCTAACGCCCGGAGGAGGCTATTGAACAACTCCAACGCGGGAAAGTAGCATAAAAACCTGCTTTTCGACATTCTAGAGGGGAGGCGATGAAAAGGCGACTTGAGAAGAAAAGATTTTTTTCTACAGCAGGTATGCCGTATCATTTATTTATTTATTCACCAAACTCATACCCCTTCTCTTTCATCTTTTTCAAATATTCGGCATTCAGAAGAGAAACCTTGTAGCTTTCTGGTGGGGTGTACCTCTCGAGTGCATCTGGGGGTTTTTGTATTTGCTTCAATACGCCGATTCCGTACTGTAGAAAAGAGAATCAGCAGAATGTTCTTCTTCTTCTTCTTCTTCTTCTTCTTCTTCTTCTTCTTCTTCTTCTTCTTCTTCAGTGTAATAGCAGCCCTAACCAAGTACATCACAACAGTTCCACACACACACACACACACACACACACACACACGGAACGGGGGG